GAACAGAGCTATTTACTTTTGTTTTGTTGTTAAACTAAATAAAAATCTACATTATCAATGCTGTAAAAGTTATGACATTTAAAATAGTCAAATCATTCTTTTGCCGGAATATTTCAATGGCTGAACAACACTTCTGGGTGACACTTTATTTTGATGGTCCATTCGAGATGGTCTGTTTCCACTGAGTGGTACGGTTTGGTTTAATTCGGCCGCTTTCACTGTCAAAAGGCGTTCCGAACCAAACTGATCCGTACCGTACCACTTTTTCGGCACCCTTTCGAAAGGGTACCAAACACAAGAAAGGGTACCAAAGGGCGGAGCTAGACACGCAGCTAAATGCTATTGGTTTACAGAGAAACGTCATTCGCTTACGCAACAAGCAAAAATGGAAACAAAGCCAGAGCCACCATGTTTAAAATACACAGCTGAGAGATTACAGTGTAAAAAAAATACATATAATAACAAGCCATATTCAACCCGGGCTCAAACAAGCCTTGTCGTGGTCTTGATGAACAGCCACAAGGCCAAAAAGAGAGCAGATTTACCATGTTCCCTTTAGGGTTAGGGGTGGGGTTGGGTGCCACGTCTCCTTTTTAAAATCGTACATTTTCGTACGACTGAACTCGCCACTAAACTGACAAAATGTAAAATACTTACGTTTTCTCATGAGATCAGGCTGGCCAAACAAAAGTTTATTCTTGTCTCATCGGACCACAGGACAGCGTTCTAGCTGACTGATGAATGCCATGTAGGTTGAAAGGTTGTCAGATTAAATTTGTTTCTTGAGAGCTAAATGGCAGGATGCTCATTTTTTACTTTTTCTGTTGTGTTTGGCTTGATCGAGCACCTGCCTTCAAGAATCTCCTGGACGTGCACAAACTGATGTTTTTCTTGGAACTAATTACCAATGTCATTGGGTGATAAGCAAATCATACTAACTTGTGTGAATTAGATCATACAAATTAATACAAATTTGCCGCTAAATCAAAAAGTTACAAATTGCCGTGAGATTGCGTTGAAAAATTAGATGTTACGAAACACCAACATGGTGTGGTTAAATATCAACCTCAATATAAAACAGCAGTGGGGGGAAATATGATCATCTGACTGAAGCTAAAATGGCAGGTTACATTATATTAGGATAATTTCGAAACATTTGATACTGAAGGAAATGGAAGTTTTCTGAGATTTCCCAAGAAAAAAATTAAAACCTATTTTCAAACTCTTTTTTATTACATAATTGGATTAGATCACTTAATCTAATCTTGGTTTTGATCCGGATCAAACCTTTAGTTTGGGTTTTTCAGACCTTTTTTGTAGGATCTGGATCACTTTGATCCAAAAAAACCTGGATTTAACTGATCCCATCAGAAGGGTGGATTTAGCGTGGATTTCATGCCTGAAATGTAATGAAAACTTAAAAAAATTATTAAATAATACTATTTTTGGATCATACAGTATCTTACAAGATACACTATTTATTCATAAGGTTTTAATTTTATTTGTTCATCCGTCAGGCTATAGTGATTATAGGCTTTAACGTATTCAGCCTTTCAGTATAGGCCTACAGCAAAGTAGAAAGAGCTTGGCCTCATAAAATAATCCCCTAAACAGTTGTCAAAACAGAACAAAAACAATTAATTTTATTCTTTCACTAATTGATATATATATTCATCACAATGAAAAAATCTTTTTCTTTTTAGAATATTTATTAGTGATGCATGCAATGATTACAGAATAACAAAAAAAAAATGCAAAGAATGGCAATCACTGATTTTTGAAATCTCTTTCAACAATTGCAAAAAGAGACTGAAAGGGCAGAAGCACAGCTTCATCTGGCAGAGAAACAACTGACTCTAACCAAACTGCAGCAAACCAAGGCCAGACTTGAGATCTGCCTCCTAAAGGCTACGCTCAGACAAGCTGCTCCCTCCACATCAGATGAGGAAGTCTGAAATTATTGTGGAGTTTTTGACATCAAGTCTTTTTTTTATTTACATCTATATTTGAAACTTATTATAAATATCCTCAATGTACAGTGTTGTAGGTCTCAGATGAGCGGACTGCTTAAAGAGGATGGGGTGGGGTTTTTCTTGTTTTTCTTATTTATTATTGTTTTAATAATTATTACATTTTCTTAGTTTTCATTTCAAATAAAAATAAAGTTATATTGACCCCACGCTGGCTATTCTACTCTTTACATATCTATAGTTCTACATTGTGATGTCCTATCCTGTATGAGCACTGGTAATCCAGATTTAGTGATCCTGAAAAGTTCCTATCCGGATCAGATTGATCCAATCCGATGTTGCTTTGAAAAACTGGCTCAAAAAGTAAGCTGGATTACCTGATCAAGGATCGCAAAAACAGGATTACTAAATCCGGATCAATTTTATCCAGATTAAACCTTTTGAAAAACCGTGCCCTGGGCTATTTGTTAACCCCCCCACCCCCTCCTGTTTTATTTTATTATAATTTTTTTTCTTTTTTTTTTCTTTAAGCTGTCACTATTATTTATCTATTATTATAAATTATATCTATTATTATATTGTTTCTCTTTTGTTGTGATTGTAAACATTCTAAGTAAATGTTATTTGCATACTATGTTTATAAAAAACTTTAATAAAAACACAGTTAAAAAAATCACAATAAAACAACTTATAAGTAAAATGTACTAAATAACGTTGTTAAAATAACTACAAATGTTGTGAAAGTAGTAAACAGAAGATTTAAAATTTGTTCATGAATCAAATAAAAAAATCATATGAAATCAAATTGTGTCATTTTCTCTTTAATGAATTGTCACCAATCGTTTTTACAATTGATACATACTTTTTAAAATACTCTTTAAAATACATCATAAACATCAATTCATAAATATAAAAATTAAATTGACAACCATTAATAAACTGTTGCCATATATTACCAATCAAAGATATTTAATTCAAGTATATATCGCTGCAGCCTGGAGACCTCCTTGCTTAGCCTGGGTTACGGCTAGAAGGGTTACAGCTGCGGCTACTGAGAATGTGTACATAATAGCATCATTTTTATGACACTGTACAACAATAATTACTGTTTTTTCATTGGGGTAGGCTTAGGAATGAAACACAACAGGTTACTCTAAGGTGTAGGTTAAGTGTGATTTCACCAATTAGGACATGTTCCTGGATCAACATGTGTTTGGGGCTGGCCTGCTCATTTGGAGCTGGCTCTGGCCTCTGTTTATATCTAACTAATTTAAAGTCATTTAAAGACATTTACTTCAATATGTTGATGTACTTCCATCTTAAGTTGAATATTACATAGGGGGTAGGGCTTTCTTTAGCCGTTCACAAAGTGATACAGGTAAATATCCGGAAAATTTACTAAAAGACTTTACCGGTAATAAAAAAAAAAAAAAGCACTGCTCACACAGAGGAGAACGTTAAGGAATTTTTCCGGAAAAGAGAATTCACACATTCATTTCAAAATACCAAAATAAATTCTGACATCATTAACCAGAAATTAGCTCTAAACGGCTGCGCTTGTATTTGTAAACATTTGACTACATTACAAACTCTGTGGATGGATCAGTATTGTGAACAACTTCTATCAAAACATATAGAGAAACACTTTCGCACGTCAAGATGTACATGATATGTGTGTGTATTGACACTCGCCAGCTGCTTTACAGGCACACCCGACGCGTCAAAGAGCTTAGAAGGACCAAGAGGCGACACTCTAGTGTAATTTGTGAAACACCCACTAGAGGGCGAGGCGGCAATTTTGGAATGAAAACTCCAATAAAACAACAGCATATTATAATTCTGTAAATAAACTATTAAACGTGCTGATGATTGTGATAAGTGTTGTATTGTCGTCTTTCAGGTTGTATCTCAGCTTTAATGCGCTTTTTAAATAAATAAATAAAAAACAAAGCAGCTGCTTGCCATCGCGACAGTAATGAGATCCAATGGACGGCCGATCACTTTCACCCCAAAATGGCGGAATAAGGGGCTGTTGCTGGGCGCTGCAGTGTCAAATTGAGTGTCAAATCTTGGTCATTCTAAGCTCTTTGGACGCGTCAAGCAACTAGAAGCAGAGCTTGAAGGTAAACAAACAACGGCTTATCATAAGAATCTTACCGATAATTATTTACACAGCTGGCATTAGGAAGGAACAAAGAAATGTTATCTAACATCGAGCAGCTAAATATGTCTGCAAAAATATTCAAAGGTTTTTATTTTCATAAACCGAGCGGACGTGAACGCGTCTGACTGTTCTAATTGGCTAAAGTGATGTCTCACGTCAACACGTTCTAGACGTGCACGCGCTCTTTTCGGCAATCTTCCTTCGGCGTTCACACAGCGCAGCATTCCGGCAAATTACCGGTAATGTTACAACTTCTCTTTCCGGAAAATAGCCGAAACGAATTTACTGGTATTTTCAAAAAGGGCCTGTTCACACATACAGACATTTCCAGAAAATTACCGACAATTTTCGGGAAAAGTCTGTATGTGTGAAAGGGGCTTTTTGCGCATCATTCCCTCATAGCAAACTAGCGGTAAGACTGGGTATTAATATGTAGTTGCTATGAAAGACCTCAGGTTTCCCCCAAGAGTGGAAGCAAATGGTCAGACTTTCATTCAAGATTACCAAGACAACCTAATTTTTTCAGTGGATTAATTTACATAGACTAATTGTTCACCTTAAGAATAGAAATTTCAAAATTGACCTAAATTAATAATCCAGGAAGATGTCCTAAAATAAGATATTTAACAAGACTTGCAGAAACTAACAGCAGCTGCTCTTTATTCAGTGCACATGGCTATATGGCTTGGAGAAGTAGCTACTATTGTCACATGAGGCAACATGTGCGATTTATTGAATTGAATACAGTGATTTAAACTATTTCAAGTCATCCAGTAACAGTCAATTGGCTGAATTGTGAAGAGGAATGACAAAAATGTATACTAGCACATCAGATAGTGCTGAAAGATTAGATCAAATGAAATCTGTAAATTACGTCACCAGTGACTTTAGAAAAAAACACAGTGCAAGTAAAGCAGTGCCCAAAAGATCCCCCAAAGCCGTCAGATATGGGATGGAGAAGCTATCGGGATCCCTGCCGTACCTCCACAAACAATGAACCATCACATCAGCGATGCTCATCAGGAGAAGCACCTGCATTGAAGAAGATTCAATCACACATCAATTCTCAATTGTGTTTCAAAACAACATGCATTTTGTTACGGTTAAACCTGCCATCCACACTTCTCCATTATCTTCGACTGGCCAAAATGGAGCGTTTTAAAAATGCCAATGGTGCGTTTTCACTAAGGTTGTCACAGTTACAGCTGACGTCCACACTACTCTGGCGTATTCAACTTGTGAAAATGGACTAGTGCTGGGTTCACACCAAAGGCAGAGCACCATGTCATTCGCACTAGTTTACTCACAGAATGTTTTAAGCCTCTCTCAATATTTCCGCTACAGTTGAATTATTTAAACTTGCATAGCAGACACATCGCATATTCTACATAATTCACACAGTGCAATGGTAATTTGCCTATGTTTGCATTGACTTTAAATGTAACTCTTGCATGGACACTTAATTCTGCATTTGGTGTGAACAAGCGGCAACCTCCCGCTCTCCCTTGTGGAGCAAATACGGAAGTAACTGAAACTGCAATTCATCAAAATTCCGCTAGTCCTGGCTCCATGTTGAGCAAATTTCTATTTACCCCACTGTTAAAATGGCCAACTTTACAGCAGAAAAAAAGGTGTTTACAGCCTGGTAAAAAGAACAACTTTGGTTTATATAGCTAATATTACACTTCATGACAACTGTGAGGAGGGTAAATTTTATTATAACTCATTCGTTTCCTTTATATTAGGTTTTATTAAGTCTGCATAATTAAGGGCGTGGCCACTTGAGTGACAGTCTCACTGGTCACCGTCACTTCACCTCAGCTGATTCCGGCTGATTACCCGCTGAACTCTGCATATACATCATATTTTTGTGTTGTTTTATGTGGCTTTACACAGTCAGTTGCCTTATGGAATTATTTCCTACAATTATCAGATTATATGTCTTAATTTTCACTTAATTTTGCTCACACACCATTCAAGTGGACTCCATTTTCCACGTTAATGAAATTATATACTTACACCATCTCTATAAATGTATTTGCTTTATTTAGATCATTTATCATTTATAATGTTCTTTAGAGATGTAATGCAGTCCAGAATGATACAGATTGTTTAGCTGTAGGCTATAGAACCGTCATCTGAAACGTTGTCTTACAGTGTTATTAATTTCATTAACAGCCCTGCATTTCTTAACACAGACATTATTTTAAGTGTTTGAATGTACATTGCGACAGTTGACCACGCCTACTGGTAGCTTCTTTTGGGTTCTTCAGCAACCTATGGGTGATGTCACTGATACTACGTCCATATCTTTTACAGTCTATGGTGTGAACCCAGCATAAGGGGTCAAAGAACATGAGGCACACTGCATTGCCTATTTTTGTAGACCAGAAAAAAATAAGTGTGCTGCACTTTTTATGTTGCTAGGCAACCACTGAATCAACTGCCTATTGTGTACGAGTGCTGCTGTTGACATGTTTGTAATTGCAAGTTTTAATACTATTGTGATTTTCAGGGTTCGTGATGTCATACAGCTCCGGATAACTCAAAACAGTGACCACTAGACTCTCCTCCATCTTTAAAAGTCTTCATAGTCATCTTGATAACACAAACATTGCTGTCACTTCAACAGAAACCCCGCCTCTGCATTCATTTGATTGGACAATGAAAAAAGATGTGACTAATGTGTTGCGCTTTTTCCAGCCTGATCTCACGAGGAAACGTAAGTATTTTACGTTTTGCCAGTTTAGTGGGTAATTGGTACGAATTTGTATGAGTTCAGTCGTACGAAATTGTACTATTTAAAAAAGGAGGCGTGGCACCTAACCCCACCCCTAAACCAAACCATCATTAGGGCATGAGCAAATCGTACTAAATTGTATGAATTAGATCGTACAAATTGATACGAATTAGCCACTAAATCAAAAAGTTATGAATTGCCATGAGATCGTGTTGCTTTTTCTGCTCAGAGTTAACCTTTTTCTACTGCAGGCGCACAGAGCGCAAAGGCAAAAACATGAAGTGTGTAGGGCATACACACAGCGAGCAAAATGCAGCGGCCATTAGAAAACCATTAAAAAAAGACACTTCTCATCGGAAAAAATTGTTTAGTTTCTATACAAAAAGTCAGAAGTGTGAGATATAAATTTAGAATTACAAAAAAAAGGTGTGATCAAGGCCTAAAGTTGCTTTTACATTAGTGTGTTTTCAATTTCATTCCTTGTCCTGTATTTCAGAAAAAAATATATCTAAATCCAAACTAAAATGGGGTCTTTAGTATTTTCAAAATGCTCTTTCTTCACAGGTCGAAGATGCTGGAGTTGTGTGGACACCAGTGACTTTATATTTTAAAATGAAAATACATTAGTGTAACTGGTGCATAAAAAGCCGTTATAGTTTGACAATTCTGGTGTTCCATTTCAGTATGGACAGAGGCATGTAAACTTTTGAAAATGGAGGCACAGTTGCAAATTGCTCTCTCGCAGGTCTTCTGGACCATTGAGTATTATTCCCTTTGTCAAGTCATTACATAACCAGTAAACTATTTCATATGATATGCCAGCCTGATCTCACGAGGAAACGTAAGTATTTTCCGTTTTGTCAGTTTAGTGGCTAATTCGTACGAATTCGTACAAGTTCAGTCATACGGAAATGTACAACTTTAAAAAGGAGACGTGGCACCCCACCCCATCCCTAACCCCAACCGTCATTTGGGTGATGAGCAAATTGCATTAAATTGTACGAATTAGATCGTATGAATTCATTTGAATTAGACACTTAATCAAAAAGTTATGAACTGCCATGAGATTGCGCTGGGTGTGCACATGAATAGTCATGTATCTTGCATTTTAAGCTGTGTAGTGTGCACATAGACCATTTTCTGAAATGCAGTAATAGCGCCAGTCTGGGTGAGAAATGTTTTCATTCTAAAACATTTAAAAATGAAAGCGCAGCCTAAAACACACAGTAACATCTTTCTCACTCACCTGTGTAAATGCAGCAATGATGTAGAAGAAAATGAAGACAGCAGTGGGTGGAGATTGGGAGCCTTGTATTATGTAAATTGTGTAGATGAAGACCAGATGACCTGGAGCGACCAATGTGAGCAGCACCTGGGCTGATCTTCCATTCGGCCCTGCCAGAAGCAATGCAAAATGTTTTTTAGCTTTGTTTTAAAATCTTTACATCTGAAAAAATTGTTGTTAATAATAAAAGGCTCATTATACAGTAAGTGAAATTCAAGAAATAACTGTAATGACAATAATTCGTAACAATGTGAAATAAAACTAAGTTTGTTTTTGAGTCGTAGCCATAGGAAGCCAGATTTATGATTTTCTCTCTCACAATTTTTAATTTACATCTCACAAATCTCATTTCTTCCTTCTCAGAATTGTGACTATATTTCTCACAATTACAAAACTTCAGGGGAAACGTCCGAATTGCAAATTATTACAAGAAAAAGAGTGAGAAATGTGAGATGTTACCATGAATGTTCAATATCTGACTTTTGTTGTAATTCTGAGTTTATATCTCAGAATGTAAAAAGTCAGAACTGTGAGACATACATTTACAATTACAAAAAAGGTCAGAAATGTGAGATACTGCTATGACAGTAAAAATGTCACAACTACAAAATGAAAAAACTGTAGCATGCAATTTCAGATTAACATCACACTAACTAGACCTTTTCCCAAAAGTTCTACATTAATGTAAGTTATTCAGAATGTAAGTTATACATTCTGAGAAAAAAGTCTGAAATGTGAACTTTAAAATTACAAATAAAAGAAAAAAAGTCAAAAATATGAGAATGTGTATTGATAATCAGCTGGGCCCGGTTTTTCAAAAGGTTTAATCCGGATCAAATCGATCTGGATTTAGTAATCCTGTTTTTGCGATCCGTGATCACGTAATCCAGCTTACTTTTTGAGCCAGTTTTTCAAAGCAACATCGGATTGGATCAATCTGATCCGGATAGGAACTTTTCAGGATCACTAAATCTGGATTACCAGTGCTCAATCACAATGTAGATAAATAGATAGGCCTGTGTAAAGAGCAACAAGTAGAATAGCCAGTGTGGGGTAGATATAACTTTATTTTTATTTAAAATGAAAACTAAGAAAATTTAATAAATAATAAAATAATAATAATAAATAATAAAAACCCCACCCCATCCTCTTCCAGCAGTCCGCTCATCTGAGACCTACAACACTGTACATTGAGGATATTTATAATAAGTTTCAAATATAGATGTAAATAAAAAAAAGACTTAATGTCAAAAACTCCACAATAATTTCAGACTTCCTCATCTGATGTGGAGGGAGCAGCTTGTCTGAGCGTAGCCTTTAGGAGGCGGATCTGAAGTCTGGCCTTGGTTTGCTGCAGTTTGGAGTCACTTGTTCCTCTGCCAGATGAAGCTGTGTTTCTGCCCTTTCAGTCTCTTTTTGCAATTGTTGAAAGAGATTTCTAAAATCAGTCATTGCCATTCTTTGCACTTTTTTTTTTGGTTATTCTGTAATCATTGCATGCATCACTAATAAATATTCTAAAAACAAAAATATTTTCCATTGTGATGAATATAGATATCAATTATTGACAATAAAATGTATTGTTTTTGGTCAATTTTGACAGCTGTTTGGGGGATTATTTTATGAGGCCAAACTCGTTCTACTTTGCTGTAGGCCAATACTGAAAGGCTGAATACGTTAAAGCCAATAATCACTACAGCCTGATGGATGAACAAATAAAATTAAAACCTTATGAATAAATAGTATATCTTGTAAGATACTGTGTGATCCCAAAATAGTGTTATTTAATAAAATTTTTAAGTTTTTATTACATTTTGGGCATGAAATCCACACTAAATCCACCTTTCTGGTGGGATCAGTTTAATCCAGGTTTTTTGGATCAAAGTGATCCAGATCCTACAAAAAAGGTCTGAAAAACCCAAAGTAAAGGTTTGATCCGGATCAAAACAAAGATTAGATTACGTGATCTAATCCGATTAGGTAATCCGTTTTTTCCTTTGAAAAACCCATTTTCAAGATTTGATCCAATCCCTTATCCAAAATCCTAGTGGATTACTTTTGAAAAACCGGGCCCTGGAGTGTCCATGAGACTCAAGCTGGAATTAGAAAAATCAAAAAAATCAAGCCACACCGCACACCTCCAATGACCTTACAAAACGGCTGAGGCTTTTATACTCGCCGCGTTCGTCGTTGTGATATTCTTTAAAACAACGGGGGGCGGTCAAAAGAAACCCACCGTAAAATCAGATGGATAAACAGAGAAGTAGGAAGTTTCCAGAACTACGTCATACTGTATCATTAATATCGTTTAATATTTTTAAACTATTGATTTTTTATTGTTTTTATACATTATTTTAATGATTATAAGCATTTTTTATAACCATTCAAGATTTTTTTTTATCTAATCACTTGCTTTTGTTCATATCTCGGACAGTATTACCATTTAAAGTTTAATATATCACAAGAGAACATGAGTTGCTCTGCAAATATATTTTTATTATGGCAAGAATAAATGCAAAAAAAAAAAATAATAATTTTTTTAGAAAAAGATTATTTTTTAGATTTAGCTTGCTTTACAAATATATAAATCAGTGTTACTGGCTAGTTTCTGTCCTCTTCTTATGCTAAAAAAGCAATGATGGTCCAACATTACAGACCATTTTCACCAATAAAGCCCAGAGAAACAGGGCATCAGTATATGTAAACCGATAGGTTTAAATACTTCCCAATTATCAAAGAAATACTTCTGTGACTTCATTATAGTTTTGTAACTATTAAACTGTTTTAAATTCAAAATTAAACAAAGTACATCAGTGCAAAACCTATAAATGGTGGAAAAACATATTTTGTGATTGTGTACCTGGTCTCCACTTTTGACATGGCCACTTTTGGTTTTAATAAACTTTTCCTTCAGGTTTTTCCAAACCTTTTAACAAAAACGTTCTCCTTTCCCACGGCTGTTGCAATTTCTGGCCAAGAATTATTGATCATTAGGTTATCTCTCTGATCACGGGTCATAAGATGTGTGTCCAGTCATACTGTTTCAGATAAAAGCTCTTCAAAGTGTTTCATATTCAACTCAAATCAGTTGTGGCACCGCGCGTGCTGTTTGCTCGAGTCTCAAAACATGCCCTACGCACCGCTAGCCGAAATCATGCCGCGCACCCAAAGCGAACCTCCGCAAACTCCGTGATGACGTCACATTCGCCGCGCGCACTCAAGCGAACAAGTGAACGGGTCGAGTATAAATCAGGCTTCACCAAAGGACACTCCATCCATCCTGTGCCTTTGCCATTCACTAGGACTACATCTCCCACATTGCATTTCACCAAATCACTCCAGGCCAGCTGTTTCACATTTTCTTAATTCTTTTACCAGTTTGGAAAGATCCATACTATTTTGCTCATTTAAATACACAGAATACGTTTACATGGACATCAGTAATAAAATTATTTGCCTTCATCCGAATAAAACAGTAATCTGCCAATAAGGTGTTGCAGGGCCGGAGTGGGACTCCTTTTCAGCCCTGGAGTTTCAATTCTTGGACCGGCCCATCTCAGTTCACAACTGACTATTAAAATAAGGTCATTTCCAATTCAGTTTCTAAGGACACTTTCACGTCATTTTTCAAGAAAACAGCTGCTTTAGAACTTCAAATTTCCAACAACCCTAACAGTATTATATGTCTTAACAATAAAAATGTCAGATTTATTAATGTAGTGAATCATCTGATTTTCATTGAGCAGGTGTATTATTAATCAATATTAATTATTCGAATTCTTACATTCACTAAGGTGCCGCTGTTTAGAGTCGAATGATGATAGTTACATCATTAATAATTTGCAGGCTGCATTTTGTTTACGGGGCTGCGAGAAAAAAAATAAAAAGAGCGGATCTGCGGCAAAATAATGAATAAAAAGAGTGAGGCTATGGTCAAATAAATAAATAAATGAAAAAAAGTGCAACTGCTGAGAGTGCAAGCAGCTAGGGACACCGGCCCTCGTGGCCAAAAAATGGACCGGCCCACCGGGAATTCTCCCGGTTCTCCCGATTAGCCAATCCAGGCCTGAGGTGTTGACATGAGCTGCTTTTTGAATGTTCCTATCATGATCCTGTTTTACATGGTAGAGCACATAGATTGATTAATGTCTTTGCATCACCACGCTATCCAAGTTTCCTCCAGCGTTTAATTTAATTTTGGGTGTTTCATTTGTAATTTTGTAACTTTAACTGCAGTAAGCCATGTTGTATAACCAAATCATCAAGTGATTTAGGGGAGTGGTTAGTGTTCCTAATTAAAATGCATCTACCTTGGGTTCGAAGCCAGAGGAAAGCAATTCATTCATTCATTTTCTTTTTGGCTTAGTTCCTTTAATAATCAGAGGTCGCCACAGTGGAATGAACCTTCATCTTATCCAGCATATGATTAACACAGCATATGCCCTTCCAGCTGCAACGCATTACTGTGAAACACCCATACACTCTCATTCAGACACATACACTATGGACAGTTTAGCTTTTTCAATTCACCTATAGCGCATGTCTTTGGACTGTGGGGGAAACCAGAGCACCCGGAGGAAACACATGTACGTGAACACAGAGAGAACATGCAAGCTACACACAGAAATGCCAACTGACCCAGCTGGGACTCAACCCAGTGACCTTCTTGCTGTGAGGCGACAGTGCTAACCACTGAGTCACCGTATTGCCTCACTTCTGAATTTTTGTACATACATGATTTTAATATTTGCCTTGTTAAGAAATAACACACATCTGTTTTTGCCATTCTTTGTTTAACGGATTCTTGTGTTCCTTGCCTTGGACTGTCTGGATTATTGATTGTTTGGTGCCTTTTCCGACCCTTGTCTTTGCTTTAGATTACTTTATTGAATTTGCCCCTGATACTGCTGGATGCCTCTGATTTGACCCCCGCTTGTCTAATCATCCTTTTTTAATAAGCCTACATTTCGATCCTCACCTTCGTTTGTCCCCAACTAAAAAAAACACACTGCTATAAACCAACGATTGCAAAGAAAGTCACAATTGTAAACAAATTTGAAATCTTGCTATTTTTCGTCAGAATTTCAAGTGATGAATTTGGAGAACTTTCAGCTATAAACTTTACAGGTAAAATGTCAGAAATGTAAAACAATTTATATAAACTTACAATTTCTGACATTTTTCTTATAATTCTGACAGTATCACAATTTCTAAAACCATTTTTAAAAACTTTTTTCTACAAATTGCAAGATGTACACTCTTGAATTAAAAAAAATATGAATATATGTATGACATTGCAATAACCTTACAATAACTCAGTTTATATATAGCATTTTTTATGTTTTTCTTTAGAATTGTGAGATATAAATTTAGGATTGCAAGACAATAAAAACAGGAGAAATTGCTATGAACATGTACTTTTATATTTGACCATTCTGTCTAAACTTAGAATTGGGCAAAAATAAATAAATAAATAATAATAATAGTGAAATACTGCTATAAACTTGCAACTTACTTCAATAAAGTTATAATAAAGTCGTAATTCTGAGGAAGCAAAAATAAGAACGGCAAAATGTAAACACAGATTTTCAGTTAACAATTCCAACCGTGAGTTTATATCACATAATTCTGACAGTTTTCTCATAATTTTGCCCTCAGAACTGTCTTAATCCTTTGTGGCATAGACCAAGCAATCCACTGGAAATATTCCTCAGAGATTTTGGTCCATATTAACATTGTGACGGTCGTAAAGTTTTGTTAACCAGTGTCCACTAGATCGAAGAGTTCCATGATCTGGTATTCTTCTGGAGTTTTGAACAGGTGCGGTGTTTTGCCGTGATTGACGTTTGGATCGGGTGTGGAGTGTTACCTGTGATGTGCGTTTGGATATAAACCAAGAGAACAGGGTGTTCATCCTTCCCTCTTCAGCTTTGGAGTTTTTTTGTATTCTTTTCTTTATATTTATGTATCATTTCACCTAATTTTTGATTCAATATATTTAAGTTGATTAGATTTTCTGGTTTGGATCTTTATTTGATTTTTTCTTGAGCCAGGAGGTTGTAACAACATGATAGCATCACACAGTTGTTGCAGATTTTGGCTTCACATCCATGATGCTAATCTCCTGAATCTCCTCCTGTGGAGGCCATTTGAGTAAAGTGAACTCGTTGACTAAGTTTACATGGGAAATTGTTTTCTTTTATCAAATTAAGTCAATAATATGATTAAGGTGTTTTTATGAGTTGCTTTTTTGAATGTTTCTTCCATGATCCCGTTTTACATGTTAAAGCATGTAGATCGATTGATGTCAATGCGTCACCACACTATCCACGTTTCCTCCAGAGATTCATGTAATTTTGGGTGTTTCATTTTTAATTTGCCGACTTTACCTGAAGTTCAGCACTTTCACTTTTATTCTGGAACATTTCATGCATGCCTCTGTGACAAACAAGATATTGGATGCAACTATGAACCGTTGGAAATGTGTTTTTTTATGGAATTTCATACCGCACACTATATGGGAGAAAAAAACTGCATTTCGCTGTGTATGTGTCTGTGGTCTTTCACTGACATGGTAGCTAAAAGGAATAGTGTCAAACAGCTGTGTGTGTGTAAGTGTGTGAGGACTATCCTGTCGCAAAACACAGCAAAAAGTCCTACATGATGGTAATAATTCGATTAAGGTGTTTACATGTCTGTACTGCACTTCAATATTGCAGCTAAAATCAGCTTACTCCACATGTCTTAATTCAATTTCTCTTTAGTTCGATTATGACTTTAATTAGATTAAATTAATAAAAATAAATAAATAAATCGCTGTTTACATGGTCGACTCTTAATCAGAGTATTGTCCTAATCTTATTAAAATCGGTTTATTGGTGTCCATGTAAACATACTCAGTATCATGTTCATGAAAGCTGTCTGAGATGATTTGCGCTTTAGGACATGGTGTGTTATTCTGCTAGAAGTAGCCATCAGAAGATGGGTACACTGTGGTTATAAAGGGATGGACATGGTCAGCAACAATACTCAGGTAAGCTGTGGCGTTGACATGATGCTCAATTGGTACTAATGGACCCAAAGTGTCCAAGAAAATATCCCCCACACCATTACACCACCACCAGCAGCCTGAACTGTCAATACAAGGCAGGATAGATCCATGCTTTCATGTTGCTGATGCCAGATTCTGACCCTACCATCCAAATGTCGCAGCAGAAATTGAGACTCTTCAGACCAGGCAACTTTTTTTCCACTCTTCTACTGTCTAATTTTGTTGAGCCTGTGTGAATTGTAGCCTCAGTTTCCTGTTCTTAGCTGACAGTGGTGGCACGCGTTGTGGCCTTCTGCTTCTGTAGCCCATCCACCTCAAGGTTCGACATGTTGTGCATTCAGAGATGCTCTTCTGCATACCTCGGTTGTAACAGGTGGTTAGTTGAGTTACTGTTGCCTTTCTATCAGCTGAAATTAGTCTGGCCATTCTCCTCCGATCTCTGACATCAATAAGGTATTTGTGCACACAGAACTGCCGCTCACTGGATATTTTCTCTTTTTCAGATCTTTCTCTGTAAACCCTAGAGATTGTTGTGCGTGAAAATCCCAGTATATGAGCAGTTTCTGAAATACCCAGACCAGCCTGTCTGGCACCAACGACCATGCCATGTTCAAAGTCACTTAAATCCCCTTTCTTCCCCATTTTTATGCACGGTTTGAACTGCAGCAGATTGTCTTGACCATGTCTAAATGCATGGCAAGTGGCTGCCGTTTGATTGGCTGATTAGAAATTTAAGTCAACGAGCAGTTGGACAGGTGTACCTAATAAAGTGGCCGGTGAGTGTATAAACTTAAAACAAAAGAGAACATCAGGGAATCATCATTTAGCGTCACTAGTATTTAACTGCTAAAGTATTTAAATCTTTCTTTTACTCAATGTGATACGAAAAAAGGACTAAAACAAAAGTAAATGTCAGGAATTTTACCTTTGGAGCAAAAGTAGCGGCAGGGGCAGTAGCATCCTTTAGTGTCTTCTGGAAGCTCGCCCAGGGGACACTGGAAATGAAGATATGTGGCTATACGACTGGCCTGGATGGAAACCAGGTTACCACCAACACCTTAAAGAAAAGACACTTTGAAACAAACAATCACATTTGTTCAGAGCATGAGTTTTGTTTGAGTGACCCACCATTTATAACAGGAGTGTATAGAACAAGACCATCGAGCTTTGGATTTGTGATTGTTCGGTCCAGAATTAATCCTCCAAGGCTTGAGGAAAAAAAAATACAGTTCCTCCATCACAAAAAGGTCCATGATGGACTTACTATTGTAAAATTGATCCAAAATCGATTGATTCTAAAATTGTGGGTACATTTTAGTCTCCAAAATAAACCTATTTTTATAAACAAAAATTAAATGAAAGAGTTTCGAACAACACAAATCATATCAATTTATCCCAAAAAATTATGTTTGTAACTTAAGACTCCTACTATATCAATTTTGACTGTATTTGACTGAATTTTTTAACGAAAGAATGCTAATTTTCATATCTTGTGTGTTATTACTTTACTCATCTTGACAGTCAGTGAATATGTTCACTTATATACTTGTCTGTTTCCGCCTGTCACAGAAGAAGATGGGAAGTATGATAAACTGGTAACAGTTTATTTATGGAGGATAGCAGGTAGATAACGGAACTCAATGGAGACGCATGCAGAATAGATATGGATGACCAGATGAATCGGAGCAACAGGAGTATTCGAAGCCAGGCACATAGAGAGATGGGATCAACAAACATCAGAAAGGGACCAGGAGAAAGCCACACTACGATGGAGAGATGCAGACACTAGAGATCATAGGGAAACAAGTAAGGTAAGTAAACTTGGAATAGCAATTGCCGCTGTCCGTGAGGAGTGTATAGTCTTTCATAACAGCAACAAGGCTAGGTGCAGAATGGCTGTGGTGCTGGTTTTTATAGGGCTGAGGTAATGACTGGTGATGACGTGCAGGTGCGGGGTTAATCAGAATTCAGGTGACTTTAAAGAGCCCATATTATACATGAAATAGGGTCATATCTTGGTTGTAAGGGTCTCCAACAACAGTCTAATATGCATGCAAGGTCAAAAAACACTTTTATGGTCTTATAATCTGCATTTATTTTTACCTAATTATCCCAGCGACTCCCGTATGAATCGTCCAGTGATTCATTTGTTCCCAAACCCCTCCTTAGCGTGAAGCTAAACTGCGCTGATTGGACCAATGACAGCCTGTTGCGATTGGTCGACTGCCTTCAGTCAGAGAGTGAAATGGCCAATAGCTAATCAGCAATATAAAAAGTAATCACAGTTCATACACGCTCGATAGTGTAGGCGTGGATTTTAGCTGCCACACACACACAAAAACACACACACACCTCCGGACGACAACGCTTTCGCTTCCGCCCGCACCCGCCAGGTTTTAGCCTGAGAACCCGCTCCGTTTTCTGCCCGCCGCGCCCGATCGCGGGAGAACACAACCAAAAGTCACCCAGCTATACAGTCCAGACAGCCAAGATGTCTGTATAAACACACACACAGCACCAAGCACACAAAGTTCGCTCTCGCTCGCTCTCTCTCTCTCATACGCGCGCGTGCGCACTAACACACACACACAAGCACCAAGCAGACTCTCTCTTTCTCATTCGCATAGCAATATCCGTGATATTGCTAGACAGCCCGCTCCCGTCCCAAATTAAACCCGTTACCGACCGCTCCCGCGATTTATTCGGAAATTTATTTCCGCGCCGCAGAAATTTGCCGCGGGGACAGCCGCGGGAATGCAGAACTCTACCACGGAGCTCCATAAACAAAGCAGCACGCGTCGCGTTTTTAACGTGACTTTGCACGCGATAAGAGAATATAGCCAGTTAACCGGATACAGTACACACGGTTACAAGTAACAAATCACAACTAAATACATTTGCAAGCTAGAGTAAACGAGGCAACAACTTTAACCGCACGTACTTACACTTGAGAAATGGAAACCCATCCTGACGTCCATCAGTAAGTTACTCTTTACTGATCCTTCCTTTAACAAACGCAGATGAAGTATTCTTTGTAGCATGTAGCTTCCAGAAGTTTCCAGTAGTTTCCAACTGCTTGGTTATAATGCTGATGTTTCATCTTTGGGTAGAGACTCAATATAATATCCATCTGCAGTGTGACTTCAATCGACCGGCATGTTTGTGTGTGTGTGTGTGTTTGTGTGTGTGTGTGTGTGTGTGTGTGTCTGGGTTTCTGCGTCAGAGGGCGGGGCCTCAGGTTTGAAATCTCCCGGGTTTGCGCGTGCACGTGAATAACTTGGTTTCGTTCGTACGTCATGGCGAAACACCTAATGAATCGGTATCAAGGCGACTCGTTTGAAGCACTATGAGTCGACTCTTTTATAGATGAATCAACCGTTTTAAACACTGTATTCTTACAGATTTAAGCCTTAGCTGGATACTTCACTTCACTTAGAGCTGTGTTACACACTACATGGAGGGGAATTTTCAAAAACCCATAATATGGGCTCTTTAATAGGGGTGATTGTGTTGACTGTGCTGACTGTGAGTGGAAAAAAACTGGCCTGGCACTGTTTTTGATTGTTTGGAGCCATATTGTGACTGAATAATACGTAGGTTAGTGTATTGACCTTATTGTAAAATGCGGAAGTGCGCCTGTTTTCGCGATTGTCTTAGAACATCCGATTCAGTCGCCTATGGGAGAAATGACTAGGAATAATAAACGGCAGAAAACGGTTAAACTACTTGCTCTTCAACCAAAAGTTTGCATGACTATACAGACCAAGTAGAATAATAAAATAAGAAAATATCAAATTGCAACATCAAGCAGCGTAATGAGCAGTTTTTTAACGTCAAAAAATGAATGGAAGTGAATGAGACCGGAAGTCTCGAGCCAAAAAGATTCAAATGGCAGCGCCCGCTCGTCAGCTGAGAATAAGGTGAATACACCATCATGTCCATTTAGCCATTTTGATTCTGTCAGCTTTGACTTTAATAAAACAGGTATGACTATCTTTAAAACGCTGATAGAAAAAGCAGATGACTTGCTCTAACTGATGTCCCTTCCTCAGGCGGGAAATGCTGGGAGGCACTGAGGCACCTACCGTTATTCTTCTCTCATTCATAGGTACAAAAAGTTTAGGGTAAACCAACCAATATTTAACTGAAATTCTCGATCACATTTTAAAAACTATGATAGGCTGAAAGTACATAATAGTCTATTTTAGACATAGTTCAAAGTTAGCATTTTGAGCTAAAGCTAAAAGCTGTCAACTCTGTTGTTCTCAACCCTGTTAGCTGTTTTAATAGTTTAACGATTAGTTAAACAACACTTAGTAACAGAATCAAATGTTTCATATCATATTTATGCTCGTTGCATTATTTTGAATTAATAATAAATTAAAATTGTTTTGCTGTCGTTTCTACATTTCCTGCATATCATTTGAGTTTTGAGAAAAATAACTGAAAGTGCTTGAAATGTACCCACAATTGTGGAAAGAGACTTATATATTGATGTACCAAGCTGTGAACGTTACCTGCTGATCACCATTGCGGTTATTACTGGCTCCCAGCCAGAAAACAGCAACTTTTGGCTTTCGGGGTGGTGAAATGAAAGAATCACCCACATCGGCGTAAGGCACAGGAAAAAAAGGCATACCAGGTAGGTGATATAAGGGTAAGGTTCTACAAACAGAGAGAGTTTATATTAAAGTTAATGCAAAAAATGTTTGTAAAAAGAGTATAAATAACCCATTGAAATCATTGGTCAACTTCTCACCCATGCAGTAATACAAGCCCTGACTGATGACAGCCAGGAGTCCAAGTGTGATGAGGTCACCAAAACTGGCAGCGATGGGCGTGGCTATGTTATCAGGGTTGATACCCACCTTCTTGGATCCAATAATCACACCAACCATTAAGATGCCTAGAGATATTTCCAAATATCCAAAAAAAAAAAAAAAAAAAGAATTCATGTTGTGTTATGGAAGTAAAAAAATACAAAATCACAGGCGTAAGGCGAAGGGGTTGGGAGTATATAATACTATATAATAGTATATAATAGTCCTTCTGTCTACTCACCACCAGATGTTGCTATCCTGCTACACCAACGCTCTTTTCACACAGATTATTTCAGATTATCACACATCACTTACTCACACATTTCTACCACTTACTTTATTGATTACACAGCCAACATAACACCATATAAATACCAGACTTTTACTTCGCTCTGGGCAGAGTACTGTTCTACATATATTCTGTTCATTGACAGCAACTCTAGAAGCCATTTCTTCCTATTTTGTTCCATTGCCTTGTTGGATTTACCATTTTGCCTTTAGTGTACTCTGGGTTATCTCTGTTCCTGTTGATTTGGGTTACTGTCTGGTCTGCTTATTGGAATTCTCATTTGCCTTGCCCTATGGACTCTGTTTGCTGTTGTCTAACCCATTCCTTACTGATTACTCTTCTGTCTTGTATTCCATACAGCTGTTGCATGGATTTTTACACATTTTATCTCATTACAAGTATCATAACGGTACATACTAGAATTAAAAATTACTACTTTTCTTTTAAGGAACTACCTTTAAGTCAGTTCCCAAACTTTTCAGCCCGCGACCCCCAAAATAACAATGCCAGTGACTAGCGACCACCAAACCAATCTGCTGAATCTGACGCTATTACTGTGTCTTTAATATAATGATATCACCTCAGGGATCACAAAAAAATCGAAAGGCTGATGGCTTTTTATTTGCATGATGTTTTTTTAATGTTTATCACTAACAGGTTAACAATGTTACTATTAATACCTATTTTGTTCTTCAGTAGGTTATGGATAAAATATGATCATAGTTTAATAAAATGAATTATATTTTTGGAAATCACTAAGCAAACCCATCTCATTGTCCCGTGACCCCCCAAGGGATCCCGACCCCCACTTTGGGAACCACTGCTTTAAGTAACCATTAAGTTATTAAAATGTATGTTTCGGAAAGGTACCTCTCCATTGCCTATATTTCTGAGAGTGTAGCCTATGTGTATCAAGTGCATGTCAACTTACACTAACCCTTACCCCAACCCCAACCTCACAGTCTACTTATAATCTAATGAGAATTAGTGGGCATGTAGATGCAATGTAACTTAAATTCAACAAACGGACCGTCAAAATAAAGTGTGACCAATTAAAACAAAGCTAGTGACATTTACAAACTAAGCAGATTTTCTGTTGGTTGATATGCCAAATCCATGTGGTCAACATAATCTGCTCTGGGGAATCTTTCACCTTCACACAAAAATCCTAATCCTGTGGATTCCTACTAAAAGGACAGTGTGATAAATAAAACAAGACAATAATTCATTAGTTAATGCATTTACTAACATGAACTAATCATGAACAACACTTGTACAGCATTTATTAATCATAATTGAACATTTACTAATGCATTATGAACATCCAAGTCTGTGCCTGTTAACATTAGTTAGTAACGTGAGTTAACATGAACTAACAATGAACGACTGTATTTTCATTAACTAACGTTTAATAACATGAATAAATACTTTAGTAAATGTATTGTTCATTGTTTGTTCATGTTAGTAAATGCATTATTAACATTAACTAATAAACCTTATTGTAAAGTGTGACCAAAGTATCTATGTAGAATCTTGACTGAATTTTAAAAATGTTAATCCAATTGTCAGATGGCGGTTTTTCCTGCAAAGATACTTGTCATTGATTTGTAAAAAGCACTATTTTTTATGAATGTTATCTTCTGAATTAAATGATATAGTTAAAAAACCAAAGAATATAACTTTTAAGTTAGATTAAATAGATTATGGTTAATTTGAAATGAGATTATATTAAATTATATTCCACATTAATAATACCCAGGTAGCAAAGAATTCTGGCCCAGATTGGGCATAAATCTGGCACAGCAGGCATTCATCCGGCACGGGCACACAGCAGGTGGGCCAAACATGGCCCTGGTTTGGCAGAGGTGACACCGTCTTTAGAGTGGCACATGATACTTGGGCCAGATATAAATTGTAGTATTTGGCCCAGATGTTCATAATCAATATGTGGGCCATATAAACTTGGCCCATCTTGACCTAAATTAAAAATACCTTGGTATTTCAAATAAAAATAAATAAATTCTACCAATCAGGTCACTTCAAGAAAAAAGTACACCCATCGCATGCCTAAAGCACAATGATTCATGGGTTTATCGATTTTAATTGCAGTTTTGACACACCCACATATCTATCCCAGTTCAGTCTCAGTTATAGGTTATTAACTTGGCTGAGACTTGGTCCAGATATAGTCCGTGTTTGGCCCTTGTCTGGAAGCCAGACTTGGTCCAATCATGTACCGTAATTCATTGCAGCTGATTGTGTGGGCCAGATCTGGGCCAGAGATATTTTGCTATGTGGGTACTGACTTGACTTAAAAGAACGCAATAAGTTATTACTATACCGTAGAATATTAATAATTTGCACATTTTTTTGTATGTACGTTTGTAATTATGGTTTTAAAATAAAAAAATATCGATTTTAAATAAACGGAACAATAATGTAGGTTGATTTTTTACAAAAAAATCAATCACATAATAAAAGATATGGCATGTGTCACTGTAACCCCGGGGAGTGACACATACAACTAAGGTAAGATCCACAATGCAGGTTTATTCGTCATCAGGCAAGCAAAGGTCAGCACAGGTGCAAACAGATATGTACAGGCAAATCCAGAATCGTAGTCAATATAACAAGCGAGAGGTCGAAAAACAGGCGGCAGACAGGGATAACTAAATAAACATTGCTAGGCAAGTACATGGGAAAACAAGGCTAGGAAAATGCATTGTAACGTCACTGCACGACTCGGCAAAGTGAATGAGTGAGTGTATAGCTTAAGTAGTGTGTGCAATCAGTCTCTGACAATCCTCAGGTGGTGCGAGTAATCAGTCTAGATAAGGAAGCATGTGTGAGTGTGACCGGAGTGCATGTATGAATATGTAGTCCAAAAATGGCAGATTTGTAGTCCATGGTTATTGTTAGTGCAAACCAGCGATCTTATTGGATATGATCGCTGGTAATCGTGACAGTCACATAGGACGTTCTTTGATTTTTTTTGCATCTTTTCTAAATGCAATGTATTATCTTTTATCCTTTGTTCAACAAACTAACAATTTAAAGGTAAAGTTCACCCAAAAATGAATGTTCCTGACTGTTTTTGAACACTCAAGTGGTTGTAAACTCAATGAATGACTTTCTTCAAACAAGATAGTCTAAAGAATGTTAGAAAAAGCAACCTTTGACATCTATAGTAGGAACAAATCACACTATGGAAGTCAATGGTTGCTATTTTCCAAAATTCTTCAGTACATCTTAAATAAGATATAAGATATAACTTTGAAATAGGTGGAGAACGAGTAACTCATGGCAGAATTTTCATTCTGGGTGAACTCTTGCTTTGAGAGTGTTCTAAAGATTTTCTAAGCTTAACCTTATTTTTCATTGCTGAGGAATTCCTTCAAAGAATCATGCTGAAAATCGGATCTATTATTGGAGAACGCAGATAATTTGAGATAAATGTGACTCGAGGATGTTGGGTCTAAATATGAACCTGTATGGAAAATGGGTTTGCATGGCTAAGATCACAAGCCATGAATCTTTTAGTTGCCTCATAACCAGCAACCACAAAAACAATGCCCCGTTTATTTGATGTCATGGAGCATTTAAAGGGGTCATATTATGTTCTTTTACAAAGTCTTGATTCTGTTTGAGGGGTGTCCTAAATCATGTTTTCTTAATTGGTGTTTCGAAAAACCCATTATTTTTCACATCGTTTTACAATACACATTATTTTTACAATACATTTCTCCCCAGGCTGGAACAAATGGATCGATTAGTTGATGAAGGCCTGCGTTTGATGAAATGTGTTGTGATTGGTTAGCTGTCCTGGTGCATTGTGATTGGCGAACATGTTACACTGTTTTAGTATCTGCTATGCTGGAAGCAGCAATTTGTATTTGTTCTGGGGGCTGGCGCTGAGCCAGAAAAAAGATGAGCACATCACTTCAAAAATAAAAATTTATCAATGTTTGCCATGGCACAGTGTATGGCCATTGAAAAAGTAACAAATTTTATTAAAAACCAAATGGATGAATATGAAGAAATTTGGAAGCCATTTAATTACTACATTAACAACAATAATATTGGTCATTTATTACAAGAAGTGTAACTAAGTATAGTGTTTTTATTTATTTATTTATTTATTTTTGTTTTGTTTTGTGTGTGTGTGTGTGGTTCATTTTGTTTTGTTGGATAACATAACTTTTATGTGTAAAGTACAGTAATGTATACTTGGTTTTTAGGTACCTAACAATATTTGTTTTTTTGCATTTAAATTGTCTCTTGTAAGAGAATTCTGTGTATTTGTATAGGGGAGAAGAGAGTGATGTTCTTTTGTTGGGGTGGGAAATAATTGCAACGAAATGGAATTGTGTTTTTCTGTTACCTGTCTTGTATAATCAAAAACAATAAACACATTGTTAAAATAAAAAACAAAAAAAAAACTTATCAATGTTTTAAATTATATAACATATATTAAAGACATTTGAATAGACACAGTGCTCAGCATATATGAGTACACCCCTCACAAATCTCTCATTTAAATTATGTTTTTATAGGATGCTTTACAATATTTAGTCAGAATGTTTAAAAAAAACAAAAACTTATCAATGTTTTAAATTATACAACATATATTAAAGACATTTGAATACACACAGTGCTCAGCATATATGAGTACACCCCTCACAAATCTCTCATTTAAATTATGTTTTTATAGGATGCTTTACAATATTTAGTCAGAACGTTTACTCTAAACTTCCAGCTAATCAGCCACTTACTTCCCTGCGAACAATTTTGTATTTAATAGACGTCTGATAGACATCTAAAACAAGACTAAACTTGGCTGTCAGTGAAAATCTAATAGACATCTAAAGCCTGGTTTATACTTCTGCATCAAGTGACCGGCGTAACCCACGGCGCATGCAACGCGCGTAGCTGTGCATTTATATTTCTGCGCGCTGTCTCTGTTGGTCTGCATTAACACTTCCAAAACGCTAGTTGGCAGTGAGGTGTAAATGTTCCTCTGTGTCGAGTTTCTTCGCTGCTGTTTTGCTTTTCCTGAACACTTCCGGGATGTACAAGTGGCTCAAACTCGCTCATTTTGAGGCAGGAACCAGCGGACGTGCAACAACTTTAACTATGAGGTAAACACAAAACAAAACGTTCCATCCGGAGCTCCTTCACGGGACTCCACACTTGTAAACAATCGCTCCATCAGGCTTGCATCATTTACGCGGCTCTGTCCCACCCAGACTCGTCAGCGCTACCAAGCCGACCAATCACAGAGCTTGCGCTACGCGTTGTTGCGACGTGTAGTTACATTTTTTGAGAGGTGCACGTCAGTGACGGCGACGGCCACGGCGAAGGGCCATGCGTCAGCGCTGTAGCATACACCGGCGTTTAACGCAGAAATATAAATCAGCATTAAGAATTGCCCAAAACTAGACTAGTCGTCAAATAGACAGATTAGACAGACTTTCTATGTCTAGTCATTCATTTCTGTTTATTTGATGACTAGTCTAGTTTTGGCCTATGTTTAGATGTCTATTATACATCTGTTAGACATCTTTTAAAAACAAAAAATGCTTGCTGGGTTTATTTTTGGGGGAAAAAATTTATGAGTTTACATGTTGCAAATCCAGCAGCTCTTATCTCTCCACTGCAGTGCAGACTAACATGGCGTTCAATGGTCATAGATCAGCTAATATGATCATTATTAAGATGTTTCAACAACTAAATACGTGTTCTCGCAATTATTTGAGAATTGGGATATCAAATATTTCACAATTAGATAAATTTGAGCTGATATTATTGGTCAAAATCAAGAGGCAACCTCCCGCTCTCCCTCAGGAAGCCAATACGGAAGTAACTAAAACTGCAATTCATCCGAAATTCCGCTAGTCGTGGCCGCTCCTGGCTCCAAAATAGAGCAAATTTCAATTGAGCCCACTTTTAGAACGGCCAACTTTAAAGCAGAAAAAAAAGGTGTTTACAGCCTGGTACAAAAACAGATTTTGGTTAATACAGCTAATATTACCCTTCATGTGAGGGGGGTGAATTTTATTATAACTCATCCGTTTCCTTTATATTAAGTTATATTAAGTTTGCATAATTAAGGGCGTGGCCACTTGAGTGACAGCTAGGTCTCGTTGGTCGCCGTCACGTCACCTCAGCTGAATCCTGCAGATTAGCCACTGAACTCGGCATATTTATCGTATTTCTGTGTTGTTTTATGTGGCTTTACACAGTCAACTGCCTTTTGGACTTGTTTCCTACAATTATCAGATGGCATGGCATGCTGAGTGCACTTACTTGTGCTCACAAACCATTCACCTGGCCTCCGTTTCCCATGTGAGTAAAGTTATATACTTATATACCATCTCTATACATGTATTTGTTTTATTTAAGATCATTTATCGTTTATATTTATATTTAGAGCTGTAATGCACTCCAGAATCTGTCAGATTGATTAGCTGTAGGCTCTAGAACAGTCGTCTGAAGCGTTGTCACACAGTGTTATGCTGGATTTCATCAATAGTCTTACATTAACTAACACAGACTATATCTGAAGTGTTTGGAAGTAATTCACATTTTCCTCCTGTTGAAAAACGTCATAAGAACAATGTTTAGTGGCTCAATGTATTACAGCAGTGTTTTTAAAAGTCTAAACACTTTATTGATATAGTGTACAACCAACCACAAGTGGTCAGAATACAAACAAGTCACAGGTGATAAAGTATTAAGCGTTCTCCCAAAGTAAAGTGTGTCTGAACCAGGTCCAAGCGAAATGCCAGCAGGTGTCTGTAGCTCCGCTCACTCTCCACCTCTTTGCCCTTATTTGGTATGTGGGTGTGATGACGCGCGAACAAAATGGCGATGGTTGGCCGCGCTTACTTGTGCCTTCTTTTGCGCTCTTTAGAAACCTATGGGTGACGTCACGGATAGTACGCCCATATATTTCACAGTCTATGGTCAAAATAGGCTTGCACTGAAAAACAGGATGTATCCGAGAAGCAATGTTATTGTCGTTTTGCTACTACCCACCCCCAACACTTGCATTTACATGGGTGGGGCTAATTGGGCAGATTTGTGACATCATAAACCCCGGAAAACTACCTTTGTTGTCTGAACAAACTGTTTGTTGTAGTTCTTGAATGCATATTTTTAAATAGATATCTCCTTTTGGAACTGACTTTGAGATTTGTAAATTTTGTATGCCCAAACACACACACTAAAACTGACTTTCATTTAAACAGTGAAAAAGCATAATAGGACCCCTTTAAAGATAAAAAAAGGTCTATATTTGATAGATAAAAGTAATCAGTAATTAGTAAAAGTGAAAGTAATTAATTTATCAAAAGTTGTATTCCTACCCTGCAGCAGGGATGCTGTGAATGCCGTCACCACGCTACAACCGCAAAGCAGAGCTACATGGTTTGTAATCAGCTCAGCTTTCAGGATCCATTCAAGAAACGAAGCCACAAGAGCAGCCAGGAAGCCCAGAACAGTTGCTTGTACCTGTAGAGACATATGAACCTTAACAAAGAGAAGAATTTCAAGAATTGAACATTAAATGAGTAAACGAGCTGCATTGACCTGTTTGAGGGCAAGATTTCCTTTGATCAGGTTCCACTTCTCCCTTGAACAGTTCATTCTGCCAACATTCACCTGTAGATATGAACTGATTTACTGTTTACTCATTTAATTGGGGAATAAATTATATAACAAAGCTTGACAAAATATGCTTAATTTGCTAAAAGTCATTCAAGTTTAACACTCAGGGCCCTATCATACACCCGGCGCAATGTGGCGCAAGGCGCGATGCAATTGTTGCTTACTAGGTTCACCTCGGCGCAAGAGTCTTACGTTTTGTGCCACGCTGTTTTAATAGCAAATGCATTTGCGCTCATATGTGCGCCCGTAGGTGTTCTGGTCTAAAAAGGAAGGCGTTCTTAGGTGCATTGCTGGTGGGTTGCTATTTCGAGAAACTATAATAGATTTTTCAATAGACCAGAACAAAGCCAGTCTATTGTCCAGCGCAGAGAGCGTTAGTTGTGCGCCTCGCTTACACACTGCTTAATACACACAAGATATAGAGCAATACGCAAATATCTTTACATATGAAAAAGAATTAAAATATTAAGGATCTATTTATAGGAAATAATAAGGATATAAATATAAAGGATTAAAATATTACAAAACATTATTTTCTAGCCTACATAAATATAAATACCATACGTTCATGCCTTCTTCATCTCGGGGTGCTTTTCTAGTTTATTCATAACAATTTGCTTTTGTATAATGTTTTTATTATTAGCAGTATTATTTATTATATGCACATATTTATATTTGTTTATTAAAAACAAGCTTAGGTTTGCCCACCTGTCAGGTTTTAGACCATATGGGGCACAGCATGTGTATTAGGATATAACTCAGGTTTTTGAACACACTTCAATATTATTGTTCATTTATTCGTTAGCTGGAAATTAGAACTGAATTTAGAAATAGTTTTGAAACAAATCTTTGTGCTCAACAAACAAAATTAATTATTTATAGGCTAATTGATGTCTTTGCGTACAAGGTTTTTCTATCCACGAGAGTGAAAGTGAAAGTAGATAATGAGGAGGCCTTACATCTCGTTCTCGCGCTGTAGATGCTCTGTTTAACTGTTTTCTTGCTAGTGAAGCGCTCAGTTTTTCCACTTCCACTTACTTTACGTCATGTAAATAGCAAATGCACCATGGTGCGAAGCAACTGGCTCTTAAAGGGAATAGGAGATGAGACTCTGATTGTTTTTTTCTCAAAACACACCTACAACTCATTAAGAAAATAACGTCAACCCTTTTAGACCATGCGCCACGGCGTAAAGCGTAAACCTTAAATTAGCAAAAGTGGATTCTGACACGTCCTTAATGCGTTTGCTCCCTGCGCTTTGCACTTTGCGCATGGATCGTCAAAATAGACCCCTTAGACTTCTTTTTTGAGCTGAACATAACAAAAAAAATTATAAATATTTACTCAACATGAACAATTTTATATGAATGTATTAACATTTAATATACTATGTTGCAATGCCATAGAAGAATCCCAAATCTTAATCTAATGAACCATCTTATAAAACTTTTATTTATTAATTTTCCTTCAGCTTAGTCTCTATTTCAGAGGTTTCCACAGTAGAATGAACACAGTGGATGCTGCATAACCCTAAACTGGGAAACACCCATTCGCTCTCACATTCACACAATACGGCCAATTTAGTTAATCTAATTCACTTATAGTGCGTTTCTTTGGACTGTGGGGGATACTGGAGCACCCGGAAGAAACCCACGCGAACATGGAGAGAACATGTAAACTCCACACAGAAATGCTTAATGGCCCAGCTGGGACTCAAACCAGCAACCTTCTTGCTGTGAGGCGACAGTGCTAACCACTAAGCCATCATCCGAGCCCTCTCTGATGAAACATTAATTTGACTTTAATTAATAACTAATGTGTTTAAAAAGAAATCAAACATTCTAGTGTGGCGTCATTTCAATCACTGCAAAGAAAATCAGTTTGTCATAGCAGTATTTTTTGGTTCCTTCAAGATTTTGATTTGGGGTTTTGCATTGACTTGTGTACAGTTTGCATTGACTAGTATGCAATTTACTTGTGAAAATACTTAATTCCCTGTTTAGTGTGAACCTAGCATAAAAGTGTTGTGATTTTCACCAGTTGGTTTGGTGTCCCCTTAACATTTTTATGTGGACAGAGAGTTTTTTCAAAAATCAAAGCGGGGAAAAGTGTGTTTAGAAAAACCTCTGACCCATGTACGTGCCCAGCAGGCACACATAGTCATACGATGTAGGTATTTGGGTATATTTTGGTTGCAATGTCAGGGGAGCAAAATCCAACGTCAGTATAACATCAGTAGATGGTGACCTTTGGTTAATTTTTAGGTAGTGGATTTAACTAACCAGCATCCAACGTCATTTTAACATCACAATGTGACGCCCATACAACGTCTAACATTAGTTGACCATGATCTTGGGTTGGTTTGAATTTGTGGCATTAACTAACCAAAATCCAACATCATATTATCGTAATAATGTGACGTCCATACAACGTCTAAGTGTGACATCAGTTGATCGTAATTTTTGGTTGGTTTAAATTTGTGGCACTAACTAACCAAAATTCAACATTATTCATTCATTCATTTTCTTTTTGGCTTAGTCCCTCAATTAACCTCCGGTCGCCACAGTGGAATGAACCGCCAACTTATTCAGCATATATTTTTACACCTGGGGGAAACCCACGCCAACATGAGAAGAGCATGCAAACTCCACACACAAATGCCAACTGGCCCAGCCGAGGCTCGAACCGAGGTGAACGTGCTACCCACTGCGTCACCCAATCCAACATCATCTTAACTTCATAATGTGACATCCATACAACGTCAAAGTGTAACATCAGTAGACATTGATCTTTGATTGATTTTAGGTTGTTGAATTAACTAACCAAAGTCCAACGTCATCTTAACATCATAATGTGACATCCATACAACGTCAAAGTCTAGCATTTGTTGACCATGACCTTTGGTTGGTTTAAATTTGACGTCCATATAACGTCAAAGTGTAACATAGGTAGACATTGATTTTTGGTTGATTTTACATTTACATTTACATTTAGTCATTTAGCAGACGCTTTTATCCAAAGCGACTTACAAATGAGGACAAGGAAGCAATTTACACAACTATAAGAGCAACAATGAATAAGTACTAAAGGCAAGTTTCAGGTCTGTAAAGTCTAAGAAGGGAAGTGTTAGTAGTTTTTTTTTTTTTTTTTTTTTTTTGTGTATGGTTTGTGTCCTCAAACCATACACAACAACTGAAACAAATCTTAAATGTACTTACAGGCTGCTGGTCTAGATGCTGCTAAAGTGCTTCTCCTGCCGACTAATGCTAGCGTGCTCACTATATAGTGGTTACCTGGCGTTTGGACACGCCTCCCGAGTCAAAACAAGGGCCGAAACTGAGGCGGACGACGCGAAACCGCGTCTGCGTTCGCTACACAAGCTCTTATAGTAACCAAGGAAACAGTGGCTAAACAACTTCTAGTATTATACACAACTGAAAGCAAGTTTAAATGTCCTACAACTTTACACAAACAGCTGGAAACAAGTCCTCAAACCATACACAACAACTGAAACAAATCTTAAATGTACTTACAGGCTGCTGGTCTAGATGCTGCTAAAGTGCTTCTCCTGCCGACTAATGCTAGCGTGCTCACTATATAGTGGTTACCTGGCGTTTGGACACGCCTCCCGAGTCAAAGCAAGGGCCGAAACTGAGGCGGACGACGCGAAACCGCGTCTGCGTTCGCTACACAAGCTCTTATAGTAACCAAGGAAACAGTGGCTAAACAACTTCTAGTATTATACACAACTGAAAGCAAGTTTAAATGTCCTACAACTTTACACAAACAGCTGGAAACAAGTCCTCAAACCATACACAACAACTGAAACAAGTCTTAAATGTACTTACAGGCTGCTGGTCTAGATGCTGCTAAAGTGCTTCTCTTTTGAGCTTAGTACCTTACTTAGTACCTTACACAATTTTAGATTGTGGAATCAACCAACCAAAATCCAACATCATCTTAAAGTCATAACGTGACGTCCATACAACGTCAAAGTGGAACATCAGTAGACGCTGATTTTTGGTTGGTTTAAATTTGTGGCATTAGCATCATAATGGGGCGTCATGGTGGAGCAGTGGGTAGCACAATCGCCTCACAGCAAGAAGGTCGCTGCTTCGAGCCTTGGCTGGGTCAGTTGACATTTCTGTGTAGAGTTTGCATGTTCTCGCTGTGTTTGCATGAGTGAATGGATGCTCCGGTGTTCCCCACAAATCCAAAGACATGCGGTAAAATTGAATGTGTGTAAATAGTGTATGGGTGTTTCCCAATCATGGGTTTCAGCTGGAAGGGCATCCGCAGCGTAAAACGTGCTGGATAAGTTGGCGGTTCATTCTGCTGTGATGACCCCAGATTAATAAAGGTACTAAGCTCAAAAGAATACGACTGCATGAACTTCACAATGTGCCATCCATATAACGTCAAATCGTAACATCAGTTGACATAGATCTTTTGTTGGCTTTAGGTTGTGGAATTAACCAACCAAAGTCCAACCTCATCTTAATGTCATAATGTGACGTCCATACAACGTCAAAATGTAACATAAGTAGACGCTGATTAATTTTTTTTTTGTTTGTGGCATTAACTAACCAAGATCCAGCGTCTGCCTGAAGTTGGACATCGATGTCTATCTGACGTTGAATTCTGACGTCAACCTGATTTTCATTTCCAACCAGAATCCAACAACCTGACGACATTGGAGTACAACGTCAATCAGACATCATGTTGATGTCCTGTGCTTGCAGGGTGTGGACATGGCCTAAGACACCAGCCTTCAGACACTTTCTTGCAGCAATAAAGTCCATTCTTGGCAATTTAAAGAGCTGTTTCATTTTTTAAACTTTGAAAATAACCTTGCAAGACATGAATAAATAAACTATAATCTCAGTTTCTTTTGGTGAACTATCTCTTTAAGATAAAATATAATCTTACAGCAGTGGAAAGTCTTGAAGCCAGCGTCATCTCCAGGTTTCCCTTTAGGCCCAGCAGAGGTGGGACAAGAATGAAGATCTCAGTCACGTTACGGAAAACATCCCAGTGCTGATTGACCAAAACAAAAAACAAGTATTTACAATTATATTTCAAATCCAGCCCCCAAAATCTTCATCCCCCATACATTTACCTGCACTACGTCCAGCAACATCCCAGCCAGCACCGTTCCAAAACCCGCAAGCAGGAATGGAAACAAAATCTGTAAAACCATGGCCCTGATTGACTCACTGGGCATCTCCTGGATATTGTGTGGCTCATCTTGTGATATGTTCACTGTTGCCCCGTAAAAAGCAGTGGAAAGCAGAGGATCAGACTCTGAAGGCTCCCTACTGCAGACACGAGTCAAACTAGATGCCCTGTCAAGATCTCCGGTCTCTGGAGAAAGCTGATGGCTGTTTTCACTGGAGGACAGGAGAGACGATGTCAGCTGACCCTCTCCCTGATTCACTTCAATGACTGATTCCATCGCCATCACACCATGCCAAATATTTTTTACACAGTCTTGGAGTTTGAATTGATGAGTGGTGGACCATGTATAGATATGTTGTATAATGAATCTCACTGTTGGATATTCAGAATAAAAATGTAATTACGGACCAATGTAAGATGATTTGATGGTTGCTTGTTTCATCTGAAAAACATAAGTCAGAATATAAAAATTTAAAGATTAAAAAGAAAAATCTGACTGCTGAATATTTGCATCGCTGTTAAATTACTCACAGTACAACATTACATTATTATTTCCAATTTTACTCAAAGTCGTTGTAACCAAAGATCAGCTTTGAAATATTAAACCTAAAATGTGTCAAAAACTAATGATTTATTTTGTCAAACAATTATTTTTCTTACAAACTTAATTTTGGGATGAAAAACTTTAAATATTTACAGTACTGTTGTATTAAACCACTATCAAGTGGGTTACAATTATAATGGTTATGCTAATAACCTATATAATACCTCTATAATTAACTATATTAGTATATATTAGAATTCATTCATTTTCTTTATGGCTAACTCTATTAATCTGCCAACTTATTAAGAATATGCTTTATGCATCACTGGGAAACACCCATACACACTCATTCACAAACAAACACTACAGATTTTGGGCAGATACAATTTTAGCTTGCCCAATTCACCTACAGCGCATGTCTTTGGACTATGGGGGAAACCGGAGCACCCGGAGGAAACCCACACGAACATGGGGGAAACATGCAAACTCCACACAGAAAAGTCAACTAACCCAGTTGAGGCTCAAACCAGCAACCTTCTTGCTGTGAGGCGACAGTGCAAACCACTGAGCCACCGCGTCACACTATATTATATTATATTATATTATATTATATTATATTATATTATATTATATTATATTATATTATATTATATTATATTATATTATATTATATTATATTATTATTCATTCAATCATTTTCTTGTCGGCTTAGTCCCTTTATTAATCCAGGATCCAGGATCGCCACAGTGGAATGAACCGCCAACTTATCCAGTTTTTACGCAGCGGATGCCCTTCCAGCCGCAAGCCTTTTCTGGGAAACTATATTATTATATATAGTTTATATATTATCATACTGTATTATTATATTATATTATATTATATTATATTATATTATATTATATTATATTATATTATATTATATTATATTATATTATATTATATTATATTATATTATATTATATTATATTACATTATACTGTATTATTATATTATATTATATTATATTATATTATATTATATTATATTATATTATACCATATTATATTATATTACATTATATTATATTATTATATTATATTATATTATATTATATCATACCATATCATTTTATATTATATTATATCATACCATATCATTTTATATTATATTAAATTATATTACATTATAAATTCATTTATTTTATTTTCGGCTTAGTCCCTTTATAAATCTGGGGTCGCACAGCGGAATGAACCGAAAACTTATCCAGCATACGTTTTATGCAGCGGATACCCTTCCAGCTGCAACCCATCACTGGCAATTATATTATATTATATTATATTATATTATATTATATTATATTATATTATATTATATTATATTATATTATAAATACATACAAATCTAATTAGACATATTTTGTGGTTTAACACTTGAACTTTTTGTATAAAAAAACAGAAGCAGTAACGACACAATTATCATTTAGCACACATGATTGATTATACTGGTCTGACATACTATATAAAAAGAAAAAAATGTTCTACTCTATTAACGCAATAGCTATTAATTTGGCTATTAATCTTAACTTTAAGTCCAAAACGTTTTGGAAAGAAAAATGAAAACACAAAATTGGTCATCATCAAATCGAGTCAAATTTGATTAATACTGAACATTTGCATCACTGTTGGATAAAACACAGAATTTTTTACTATTTATTATTTCCAATTTCATTTGGAGTCACCGTGACACTGAAGATCAGGTTTGTAATGTAATTTCATTGCACTAAGTGTTTTAATTTGACAAATATGTTTATATTAATTCCACACATTTTATGCAACATACAAATATTTACAGTGCTGTTGTACAACAAGTAGGATAAATTATAATGTTTATGCTAAGGCACAATATTGGCATGATAAACACTGTCAGTTTTCTTATTTTATTTCTTGTTTTATTTATTGCATTATGATACATTGATCTCTGTCAACTTTTGATGTTAAAAGTTCAACTGTGAACAGTTGAACAAAGTGAATTTTATTGACATTTTAGTAGTCACAGGCCCGTAGGCAGGGGGGGTTCGGGTGGTTGGAAAGACCCATCCCTCACTGACAAAAGTCCAGAATTTCTCCCATACATGTCCTATTTTGACTGCTATGCCATCATAAATAGTGAAAATAACCCATGTAAAAAGACTGTAAGACCAAGCAGAATCCTCTTTTGGCTGTTGCTTCTGTGAGCTAATCAGTTTTGGCTAATGCAAACAATTATTTGCAACACATATCACTATATGCATTCCTGGCGAATTATTTAGCCAGAGGAACATATGGCTATTTTTTATAAGTTCAACAACCAGCTGTGCAAGAAAACATACAATCTGACCCAGGTGAAGCCATCTTTCCCTACTGTATTGTTTTTAAATGGAGAAAACATTTTACAACTAACTTTTATTTAAATTTAAATACTAATTTGGCTATACTTGTTATCCATTCGTTTTCAAATGTACTTTTTATAAGAGAAACTAGAAAAAAGTGAAGATGTACATTATTATTATGATTATTATTATTATTATTATTATTATTATTAATATTAATATTATGTTAAAAAAATTAATATTCAAATGTTCAAATTCTGACTGAGTAAAGTCGAATGCACTGGCCAGTATGTTATTTGCCTAATAAATGACAATAGGCTACTGTTTTTAATTTCAAGCAGACACCTAATGTGATTTTTTACGTTCAAAATAAGTATTTATTCATATTTCTTTATTCTAAATCTTTAGGAAATATCTTCGGTACATAAAAAAGAGTGGTTATGGTGACTATTTGACACTAAAATGTGGTATTTAAATCTCACAATTAAATAATAATAACACTGTGAATAACTGCAAAAAGGTCCGCTTTTTGAGAAAAAAAAACAACCCCTTTCACCAGGCTGGCTACGGGCCTGACTTATAACAATATATTGAATAATAATACATTTATAGAGAATTAAGTTTGTAAAATAACACAAAAAATACTGGCAGATTATAACCAGGCTTTTGTACCTTAATTTACAACACAACCCTAGACAATAAATCACTTCAAACTATTAACAATGTTAATAAAAGTCATATTTTCAAACGTTAACATCAAAAGTTGTTGGAGAAAAAATCAAGGTCCCATAAAACAATTCCAAAAGAATAAATAATTATTCAAAAGCACTAAATACATAGTACTGCTAATTTACTGTTTTCTGTATAAAATGTATAAAATACACAAAAATTAAATAAGATATGTCTTGTATATAAAAAACAGAAACATAAACACAATTGTCATTTAGCAAACACTATTAGGTCTTACTTTTTAACAAAATATGTTCTGTTTAAAGCTATAGCTATTAAATTGGCTATTATTCTTAACTTTAAGTCAATGAAACAATAAATATAACTTACCTCAAAGCAGCAAAGACCTAAAACCAACAAGCTGAAAGTTGTCGAGTACATGTTGTACTCGTTTCTCTCCTGATTAGCCTTCCATACAAATTATTAGAGTGACTGTGTGACAGTCAATGAAGGTTTGTGGTGAATGTTGTGCTGTCCCCATACGGCCCATTAACGTATTTGGCACACATTTTTTCATTACAAAATGATGACAGACCAAACTGTTGCTGTAGGGTGTATGCTTGTGAATGTGGTCATTGGGGTTTAACTGACTGGTAAACAATAATGTATTCATTTGCACAATAACGAGGAAAAGGTTGGTCCGTATTTGTGTTTTCACTGTGATGCTTGACGCCACTCGCAGGAAAGTTTGAGAAGTGCAAGTCAAGTCACATTCTTCAAAACATTACTTTTTAATACCAGGTTTTCCACTGGCTGTTGTATTTACACAGATTAAATAATTTATTTGATTTAATCTACTTAGTTTTATTAAAATTAAGAAATTACGTAATCATTTACCTGCTCATGCCCTGATAACACAACGTAAGCAGGGGCGGATTTACCCAATAAGCAAGCTAAGTGGGTGCTTAGGGGCCCCCAAGTAAACTATATGGTAAATTATATAAGGTAATGGTCTAACAAATACAATTTTAATGTAATTATTACAACTACACAAATTTGTCTCCCATCCTGAATCACTGAGCAGTCCAGCAGTTCAAAGGTAAAGGCTTTAAAATTCATATTCATCTATAAAAAAAATAAAACAAAACTAATAATTTAAAACGTAGCGATTGCAAAAAGATAAAACATAGAAAAGGAGAGATTAAAAAAACATCAATATAAATAAATAGAAAATAAATAAAAGTACAGAGGGTGCATTTAAGACTGTTTGGCCCTGTGACTAATTGCTTAGGGCCCCCAAAACAATAAATCTGCCCCTGCTTGTAGCTCTAAAATTACATTGTGTTTTGTAAAATATCCATGGTTAGAATACAGTTAGTATTATTAATTAAACAATTATGTATTATGATTTATAGTCAAATGTGAAATACATTTTTTTACGTCTAATTATGGATTCTATAGCTTGACAAAAATGTCGTTGTCATTTTTGGTGATGTGATGATTGTATTTACCAACTTTTTTTTCTTAGGCTGAACCCTAATTTAGAGTTAACATACTTACATTTTTCCTATTTGCATGTTCACAGTTCTTGATATACTAAAACAAAATAGCCTATTTAATCTACTATTTGTGTCTCTTGTGTAATACTATTTAATGTAATAAAATAAACATTGGTTGTCACCTCGCAGCAAGAAGGTCGCTGGTTCCAGCTTCGGTTCTTTGCGTCGGCTGGGTCAGTTGGTATTTCTGTCTGGAGTTTGCATGTTCTCCACGTGATGGCGTACGTTTCCTACGGGTGCTCCTGTTTCCCCGACAAAGACACTAAATTGTCCGTAGTGTATGTATGTTTGTGAGTGTGTGGATTTCCTGGGTGTTTCTTAGTGATGGGTTGCAGCTGGAAGGGCATAAAACATATGCGGGATAAGTTGGCGGTTCATTCCACTTTCGGGAAATTAACTGATTGAAATTACTTAATGAATACTGTAGTTAGTAATTTAATGTAATTTCAATTTTAGAATCCATTTGACCTAACATCAAATTGATTTGATTATTTTGTGTCTAAAACAGAAAAAAAGATTAGATTTTTTGTTATCTATGTTGGGCTTGTTCATTGATAATACAATTTACTATAGCAGTTTAAAATTAAAATGCATAATTACAGCAAAAATAATACTTGAATAACATTAAAAAGATTTATTTTTTTATTTTTTTATTTTATTTAATTTTTTTCACCTAAGTGTCAGATAGTTAACTTAATTTGTCCCGCACGAAATTTTCATTTGCAGCATACACTCACAGAGACATCAGACATTACACATTTGGCAGAATTATTAGCCCCCCCTTCATTGTTTTTCTTTTTCAAATATTTCCCAAATGATGTTTAACAGAGCAAGGAAATTTTCACAGTATGTCTGATAATATTTTTTCTTCTGTAGAAAGTCTTATTTGTTTTATTTTGGCTAAAATAAAAGCAGTTTTTTTTAATAACACATTTTAAGGTCAAAATTATTAGCCCTTTCAAGCTATATATATTTTTTTGATAATCTAGAGCAGTGAGTGGTCCTCAAACTGTGGTAGGTGCACCACTAGTGGTTCTGAGCTTTCTTCTAGCGATACGCAGAGGAATCCAATATGTCACATGTACATGCAATATTGATTTCAAAATGTATCAAAAATGATTCAAATATGAATGTGATCACATATAGCCTATATTTATGAGGTCCAATAATAATTTTCTTAATAATAGTAGTTAATCCGCCATGTTTTTAAACTGTGCAAAGCTGTAGCTGCTTTACTGGGCCTACTACGCTACTTCATTTCAAAACTGGTGGTACTTGGAGAGACTATTATTTCTGAGGTGGTACTTGATGAAAAAAGTCTGAGGACCACCGGTCTAGAAAACAAACCATAGTTATACATTAACTAATTACCCTAATCTGCCTAGTTAACCTATTTAGTTAAGTCTTTAAATGTCACTTTTAGCTGTATAGAAGTGTCTTGAAAAATATCTAGTCAAATATTATTTACTGTCTTTATGGCAAAAGATAAATCAGTTATTAGAGTTATTAAAACTATTATGTTTAAAAATGTGTTTAAAAAAAAATCTTCTCTTCATCAAACAGAAATGGGGAAAAAATAAATGGGGGCTAATAGTTCAGGGTGGGCCAATAATTCTGACTTCAACTGTATATAAATAAATCATATAAAAACATGGTAACCCTACTCTAAATAAATATCTAGTCTACTGGCCATCAACTGTGACTGATAGAGGAGGAATTTAAAAAACTTTAGCAAATATAAACATACAAATAATTATAACTGGCTGACATTTCAATATGTCAGTCATTTAATAACATTCTGTATATTCACAGTTCATGATATTCATTTATTCATTCATTCATTCAGTTTTTTTTTCAGTTTTGTCCTTTTATTAATCGAGGGTCACCACAGCGGAATGAACCGCCAACTTATCCAGCATATGTTTTGAACAGCGGATATACTTCCTGCTGCAATCTATCACTGTGAAACATCACACACTCATTTACACAAATACACTACGGTCAATTTTAGCTTACCCATTTCATCTGTACCACATGTCTTTGGACTGTGGTAGAAACCGGAGCACCCACAGTAAACCCACGCGAACACGGGGAGAACATGCAAACTCCACGCAGAAATTCCAGCCGACCCAGCCGAGGCTTGAACCAGCAACCTTCTTGCTGTGAGGCGATCGTGCAACCCACTGCGCCACCCGGTCGCCCAATTCATGATATTTGATTACATTTAAAATGATTTGTTTTAAATGAAAAATGAAAATACACACACACACACACACACACACACACACACACACACACACACACACACACACACACACACACACACACACACACACACACAAACACAAACAAACAGATTACTGTATTCCTATATGACAATAACATTACATGGCAAAAGTCTTCCATGTTTGAAATATTTAGATCACTATTCAACTAGCTAATGCCAGTAGATATGAAAAAATAACATTTTATAACCATGAATCACTATTCATAATTATGTAAACAATAAACTAAAACAAACTGTATTAGTAGGCCTACACTTTACAAAAACGTTTCATTATTTATTTACTAACATGAACAAATAATGAACATTGTTGAACATGAAAACTGTACAGCCTTTTCCACTCGTTTGAATGTGCACTTTTAAAATTCCATTTCATGGACATTAACGCAGTGTGATTTAACATAGACTAACAATTTATTAATTTATTCATGCTATTTTTGGTTTAATCTCTTTATTAATCTGGGGTCGCCACAGTGGAATGAACTGCCAACTAATCCAGTACGTCCCACGCAGCTTAAAGCTACAACTAGGAAACATTCACAGTGAGAACATGCAAACTCCACACAGAATCACCAACTGACCCAGCCAAGGCTCGAACCAGCGACCTTCTTGCTGTTAGGCGAACGTGCACTACCCACTGCGCCACCCTGAACAATAACTTTATTTCCACTAACTATAACATTAAGAAAGAATGATAAATACTGTTATGTATTGTTCATTATTCATTTATGTAAATATTGTGAAGTGCTGTAAAGAGCTATGTTAGGAGAGCGGGAGTAAGTGAATGATTGTAATTTCGCATATTTTAATAAAACTAAGAGGAATATATAGAATTACTCGACTTTCGATTTTACCTAGGAGCTTTTATTGTGTAATTCGCTCAGCAGCACAACCGGAAGTTGGCTTTAGTATGCGAAATCATGTGATTCCCAGCACAGACCCTCCTCTGTCTGTGCAGTAAAGCCCCAAAACAGACTGACCTAATGGCAGCTCACTGAAAACCCAAGTCTGTGGCGTTTCTGTAAGGATGGCTGTGGATTCATTATCTCCTGACTGGGAGTTTGACCGCTTTGACGATGGATCACAAAGTAAGAAACGCGTCTGATAATGCATTATACTGAGAACTGTTGTGTGTTGTAGAGCTGTGCAAAGCCTGCAGCTAGCTCAGTAATGTTAGCTAGCTGTCAGATGACCAGGGGAAAGTGGCCAAGTTTAAGCCCTCTGGTTAAATGAGTGGGTGTATGTGTGGTTTTGATCGATTTTAGGAAATGTGATAAGGAAGTCTTTCATTTCGAGTCATTTTCTTCCAGTTACATTATTAGAGGTTTGGATTTCTTTCAGTGTTAAAATTGTTAATTCATTTGAGTAAATTCTCCAGTGAATGGTAATCGTTTAATGTTTATATATATATATATATATATATATATATATATATATATATATATATATATATATATATATATATATATATATACTGTTTATATAAATGTAGATTAGGACAATCATAGATAAACATTTTAAAGTGTATTGTCATTATCTCCTATCAATATTAATTCAACCAATATGATTATTTCTAAATAGTTGAGATAATGTTATTATTGTAATTATTAAAAAATATTTTTTACTTAAAGAAAGCATGTTGAATGCAAGTAAACTGCCAGATGTCTAGATCTTTAGTATAGTTTTGATCTGAGAGAGTACGTCTGTGTCTCGGACATTAGCAGGAAGGCTATTCCTGAGTTTAGGAGCCATATATTAAAACGCCTGACCTGGGTACTACCAGAAGTCCTGCGTTTTGAGATTTTAAAGAGTGTGTTGGAATTTATTAAGACAGAAGGTTGGTTAGATAAACATTAGCTATCTACAGTGCATCCGGGAAGAATTTCCACATTTATATAAGTTACAGCCTTATTCCAAAATGGATTAAATTTATTTATTTATTAAATATTCTACACACAAAACCCCATAATGACAATGAGAAAAAGATTTTTTGAAATTGTTGCAATTTTTTTTTAAATAAAAAAGCTGAAAAATCACATGTACATCAGTATTCACTTTGCCGTGAAGCTCTAAATTGAGCTCAGGTACATTGGCTGTTTCTCAATTCCAAGATCGCAGAGAACGGACTTGCGTTCTTGTGGAGAGCGGTCTTGCCAGGTGTCCTTGGAAGAACGAACTCAGGAGACCGCGAGTGCAGAGAACGCGTCCTTTGAGAAATGGGATGCTGCGTTCTTCCTGATGGTCATGTGACCTTCACACGTTTCAAATGGAAATTATTTAAATATTACAGCCTTCATACAACGATTTTAGTTTTCCCCCTCTTCAAAATATATACTTTGCATAAAAACATTATAAATATACTCTGCACAATATAAATAAAACAAATTTTAATACGAATTTCAGCAAACAAACACCCTTAATTTGTTTATTCCTTTATTAAGATATTCATGTTAATGTTTACTTTCACCGTTTCATTTAGGGAAACTCTTGAGGTAAATAAGTGATATCTCTGAACTTTAATAATAAATCTAGATAAAATGCTGCGCTTCCCACCTCCAGTCGCAATGACTTCTGGGACTTCCAGAGCGAGTTCGGTGCCCAAGTCTGCAACGGTGCGTCCTCGATATCAAGATCACATCCGGGAAGTTTCACGCGTCCTCCGTACATGATTTGATAAGGCATACACCTGTCTATATAAGGTCCCAGGGTGGACAGTGGATGTCAAAGCACAAACCAAGCATGAAGACTATAGAATTGTCTGCAGGTCTCAGATACGGGATTGTCTCGAGGAACAAGGCTGGGGGAGATTACAGAAAAAATTCTTCTGCTCTAATAGTTCTAATGAGCACAGTGGCCTTCATCATCCATAAGTAGAACCACCAGGACTCTTCCTAGGGCTGGCCGGCCATCTTAGCTGAGTGACTAGCTGCATTGGCCAGTGCGAGCCAGGGCTTTTATCGGGCCGAGCCGGACCAATCGCCCGGGAGGATGAGCAGGGAGGCTGTAATCATGTCGTGTTTCCACTGTCGGGCTAGTAGCTCGCAGCGCGTCAAGCAATCCCCGCCCTTAGAACGTCCCCCGAATCAAACGTCACACAACCCGCCCACTTCAGTGGGAATCAGGCAGATAAAGCGCACCATCGCATCATAACGAAACCATTAATATGAAGACACTGTTACGGTACAGCAGTACATTATATGTCTATACGCACAGGCCTGTGTGTTTCTATTTATTGAATTAATTTACTCGCTGACCGACTGTTGGCATCGTGCGTCGCTTGCCACTAACGGAGGATCCCAGCACAGTGAGCGCACCATCCATAATATAATAACACCACAGAAATTCTCTGTTAATAACTTGGTATGAAATGTATTTTATAACATTCATTCTTATTTAGATGTCAAACATTCAGCCCAAATGCTCCGGAGAGACCTGAAACATAAATTTTTCCCTAGGTTATATAACCTTTCATTGGTGATTCCCCTTTATTTAAGGATGTTTGCATATTACATTTTAAGTAAAGGAAAGTGTTAAGTATTTCAGCACTTAAGAGCAATTAATAAAATATAGTCTATATTTCACTGCGCTCAGCAGCTTTTCACTAATAAAGCTCTTCATGTATTTAAAATTTCATTTTAAAATTTCACCACGTCAAATAAAAACATAAACACTTGTTTGAGGACACAGAACACATTTTGTGTTTGCAGTTTTCCCTGATGTATTTATAAAGCGGCGCTCCGCAGGACTGGATGACAGAAAAAAAGGTTGCCTAATTTCTGCTTTCAACCACCCAAACATTGCTGTTTGCACGATTTCATTGATATCTTCGTATCCAAATACTTTATAAATAACATTTTAAACCTCCTCCAGTGTTTATTGTTTTTAGAAAATATTTCAATATTTTTTTTTCAGATAGGCCTTTGTAAAATGAAAGTAATATATGGCTTTAAAACGTTTTGATGTATTGTATATACCTATATTGTTATAGTTAGCCTTTGTTTATTTTATATTGGTTTATTTATTTAATGTGATTTTATTATATCCGATATATGCAACTCTTTAAATTTCAATATAGCTTAGGCTATTTTATCTAGATATGACACTATTGTTTTGAGTCTACAAAATAGGGCACGAAATTTGTAAAGTTTTAAGTCTTTCTGTTGTATTCATTTTTGTATTACCTCAAAAATAAACAAAAAAAAAAGAAAAAAGTCGCTTGCGGCATCAACAGAGTGAAGCGAGCGCTCTTTTACTCGGTCTCACACACACATACAGGCATCTAAATGCGCACAAACACACCCTTTAAATTTGACAAAACTCTCAACAACCTTTACTGTCTGCTGTGTCTTTAATATGGGGTAAAGATTATTATGCGTTATTGAAACATCAAGGAGGACGCAGCAAAGAATGTCACTTATAAGTTAAAGCTTAATTATTTCATGCAACACAGCCTTACATTTAAAAGAGAAACATATGGGCGATCATACGCAAAAAGACCCCAGCCTATAAGGCAAGATGTTTTCTTTCCCTTATTTATTTATTTGTGTGTTAGTTTGGCGCATATACTCTTGTGCGATCGGAAAACTAGTGTACGCCTTTTCTTTTACTCCGCCCCGATGCCCCAGCTGGCCCTCTTTGGCCCAAGGTATTCGGCGGGCCGAAAAAGGCTGGCCGCTGGCCCCAAGAAAGCCCTGCTTTGGCCCTATTAGGCCCCGGAAGTGACAGTGGAAACATGACTGGCCTTGGCTCGCTCGCTTTAGGTGCGATAGTGGAAATGCGGCTACTGGGGAAGAAAGGCCTTAGTCAGGAAAGGTGATCGATAACCCAATGGTTACTCTGTATGAGTTCCAGTGTTCTTCTGTGGAGAGAGGAGAACCATACAGAAGGACAACCATCTGTGCAGCAATCCACCAATCAGGCCTGTATAGTAGAGTGGCCAGACAAAAGCCACTCCCTGCCTTGAATTTGCGAAAGCAATCTGTAGGACTATCAGATCATAAGAAACAAAATTCTCTGGTCTGATGAGACTAAAATTGAACTCTTTGGAGTGAATGCCAGGCGTTACGTTTGGAGAAATCCAGGCACTGCTCATAACCAGGCTAATACCATCCCTACAGTAAAGCATGGTGGTGGCAGCATCATGCTGTGGGGAAGTTTTTCAGCAGCAGGAACTGGAGGACTAGTCAGGATAGAGGGAAAGATGAATGTAGCAATGTACAGAGACGTCCTGAATGAAAACCTGCTTTAGAGTGCTCTTGGCCTCAGACTGGGCTGACGGTTCATCTTCCAGCAGGACAATGCCCCAAAGCACACCACCAAAATATCAATGGAGTGGCTTCACAACAACTCGTGAATGTCCTTAAGTGGCCCAGCCAGAGCCCAGACCTAAATCGTATTGAACATCTCTGGAGAGATCTAAAAAGGACTATACATCGTCGCTCCCACCCAACCTGATAGAGCTTGAGAGGTACAGCAAAGAGGAATGGGCAAAAATTCCCAAAGGCAGGTGTGCCAAGCTTGAGGCATCATATTCAAAAAGACCTGAGGCTGTAATTGCTGCCAAAGGTGCATCAACAATGTATTGAGCAATGTGTACTTATGTGCATGTGATTTAAAAATAAATAAATAAATATGCAACAATTTCAAACAATATTTTTTTCACATTGTTATTATGTATATATATATATATATATATATTGTGTGTAGAATTTTAAGGAAATAAATGAGTTTAATCCATTTTGGTATAAGGCTGTAACATAAAAATTGTGGAAAATTGAAGCGCTATGAATAATTTCCAGATGCACTGTAGTATGGACAGCAAAGTTTTAGAGCTAACTAGAGTTTGATCCTTAAAAAAAGTCTTAATTTTAACTCTGTGTGGAGGTATTTTTGTACACACAGTTATTAAAGCCACAAATATTTCTTACAAATGTATTAATCAAAAATGTCTATGTAATTATATATCTCTCATTAAAAATGATCATTATAATACACCAGTTTTAACTTCAAACCTAATGTACATTTTCTGCACCAAATTTCTGGTTGTTTTCTGAATGTTCTAAATCTCATAGTAATTTATAATTAGTTTTTTTATACAACACATTTTATTAATTAAATTCATCATTTTCAACCATTGACCTGTTGTTAAGTTGACATGGAATGACCCATATAAAAGACTTCTAATGGTTAAAAGTTACATTAGTTTATCAATTCCTAAAAATGTAATTTATTGTCATTCAATAATTTAGTGTTGCATTTGTTTTGTTCCTGTTCAGAAATCCACACAGAAGTGCAGGTTAAAAACTATGAGCGGTTTTTAGAAGAATACATCGCTCAGCTGCAGGGTATTGAAGAAGCATTAGATGACTCTATTGGAGATGTGTGGGACTTCACTCTGGACCCCATCACTTTAAAGGTATTGTGTTTTTCATTATAGTTTCATAACAGTATTGTTTCCTTATAATCCGCATTAATTAATATCTTTGCTCTTTTCCAGCTTTTACCTTATGAACAGTCCTCATTGTTGGAGCTCATTAAGACAGACAATAAGGTAGAAGATGTTTATTATTCCTTATTTTGTTTTCAAACTGATTGCTTTTTTTAGATGCTGTGGAAAAAAGTTAATTGTGTTTTAACTTTTGTCTCTCTCTCTCTTAGGTGCTTAATAAAGTCATCACAGTGTATGCAGCGCTTTGTTGTGAGGTGAAAAAGCTGAAACATGAGGTAAGTTGGAAAAATGGTGTAAAAATAGGCATACAAGAACATATATTCAATTCAATTCAATTCAGCTTTATTTGTATAGCGCTTTTACAATGTAGATTGTGTCAAAGCAGCTTCACATAAATGGTCATAGTAACTGGAACAGTGTGGTTCAGTAACTGGAACAGTGTAGTTCAGTTTTTAATGTTTAAGTTTAGTTCAGTTTAGCTCAGTTCAGTGTGATTTAATCATTACTGAGAGTTCAAACACTGAAGAGCCAATTCATCGATGCGTAGCTCTACCAATCCTGAACCATGCGAGGCAGTGGCGACAGCGGAGAGGGAAAAAAAACTTCACCTGATGGGAGTGAAGAAAAAAAAAACCTTGAGAGAACCAGACTCAGTTGGGCACGACCATTTTAATTTCTCCGCTGGCCAAAAGTCTAGTGCAGAACTTCATTCGTCGTGGTTTAGGCTGGAAGATGGCCTCAGCGAAGACTCGTCTGTCCCTGGAGCGTCGCTGGAATCAGACTCATGTTCTCCACTCCCCACGACCATCAGCGCAGCAGCAGCTCAGGATATGGCCTGGTCCCGGATATGGAATCCTTGGGATCATCACTTCGCTGGTCTTGGATCCAATCAGTGACTCCGCATAATCTGAGGACCTCGGGATGAGTATCCCCAGGTGAAAATAGAGAATAAAGAAAATAATTAGCGTAGCTGCTGTTCATAGTGTATATAAGCAAGATGTAGGAGCCAGTGTGGAACCCGCTAGGTGATGCATTGAGAGTATGCTTTACTAAACAGATAGGTCTTTAATCTAGTTTTGAACTGGGAGAGTGTGTCTGAGCCTCGGACGTTATCAGGAAGGCTATTCCAGAGTGTAGGAGCCATGAAAGAGAAGGCTCGACCTCCTTTACTTGATTTTGCTATTCTAGGTACTACCAGAAGCCCTGAATTTTGAGATCTTAAAGAGCGAGTTGGTTTGTAGCGAGACAGAAGGTTGGTTAGATAAACAGGAGCTAGATTATTTAGAGCTTTATAGGTGAGAAGTAATATTTTAAATTCAATACGAAACTTAACAGGCAGCCAGTGTAAGGAGGATAAAATTGGGGTTATATGATCATATTTTCTAGACCTGGTAAGAACTCTGGCTGCTGCATTTTGTACTAATTGAAGTTTGTTAATAGAGGATGCTGGGCAGCCAGCAAATAGATCATTACAGTAATCCAGTCTCGAAGTCATAAAAGCATGGACTAGCTTTTCTGCATCTGAGATGGATAGCATATTTCGTAATTTAGCGATATTTCTCAGATGAAGGAAGGCAGTTTTAGTGACATGGGATATATGGTTTTTAAAAGTTAGATTGCTGTCAAATATGACACCCAAATCTTTTATAGTAGAGCTAAAGCTAACTTTGTATCCTTCTAATTGTAAATTGAGTTGCGAGATCTGCTGTATTGGTTAGGATTTCTGCTCACAGAGGCTGCATATGTTTGTTAACAGATTTTAAAAAGATGTAATATTATGAAATATTACTTGACTTTTAAATAAATGCTTTATTTTTTATGTTAATATACAGCTAAATAATCAGCCCTCGTGTGAAATTGTAATTATTTGTCAAATGTTTCCCAAGTGCTGTTTTAAAGACATGGTCCATTAAGGTATCATATTTTAAACTTTAGTTCATGTGCATTGCAGCTGTGTGAACATAAACAACATCTCTGAATCTAATACGCTTGTAATAGACTCAAAGTTCAATGCAAAGGGAGACATTGGCTTTCACAGAGTTAGCTTAGCAAAGCCAACAGCTAACAAAGTTTGGGGACTACAAAAAAAATACTTTCTCGGTTAGTGAGATTACAAACGCTTCAGGTTATGTGCATTCACCACACGCATACACCCCGCGTAGTGAAGGGGCGTGGCCAGAGGTTTTGCGCCTCCCTTACACATTGCTTAATACACACAGGATGTATAGGATGTAATACGCAAATATCTTTACAAATGAAAAAGAATTAAAGGATTAAATTATTAGAAGAATTATTATTTTCTACATAAATATAAAAACCACTACTTTCATGCCTTCTTCATCACAGTGGGCTTTTTCAGTTTATTCATAACAATATGTAAATGCTTAGTTTTCATAGTAATTTTGCTTCTATTAGTGGCCTTTTACATTATTTCTGAAATAAATTATACACCACCAAACTGACATGTTTTTGTTCTTCCTCATCAGTGCAGTCTTGACCTGTTGTGGCTTATTTACAGTAGATTTCACTTAAACAAACACTCAACTTTAAAAAAAAAAAAATGCTCTATTTTACTGCTTTTCTTGTGCTGAATTGATCCATTTTTTAATTCGTTCAGCCGGTCCCCAGGTCTGGCAGGAGCAGTTTAGCTTAGCATAAATCATTGAATGATCTAATCTGATTCAATGAGCAATGCTAAGCTAAGCTAAAAGGGCTCTTGCTAGATCTAAAAATCAGCTGAATGGATTCAATAATGATAAAATTCAACAGTTTAACACAAAAGGAGTTGTAGAATGGGCATATTTTCTTAAAAAAAAAAGTAGAGTGATGATTTTGAAAAGTTTAGCCAGAAAAAGTTTTTATATGTTAAGCTCATTTTTATATGCTAAGCTAAGCTAAAATGGCTCCTGCTAGATCCAGAGATTGACTGAATGGATACAAAAATTGTAAAATTCAATAGTTTAACCCTAGGGGAGTTATAAAATGAGCGCATTTTTAATAAAATAGACTGGTCCTTAAAGAATTATTTAGTAAAGTTTAGCCAGAAGAAGTTTTTATATTTTAAGCTTAGTTTTTAATATTCTAAGCTAAATAAAATTGCTCCTGTTAGATCCAGTAATTGACTGAATGGATACAAAAATGGTCGAATTCAGCAGTTTAACACTAGGGGAGTTGTAAAATGAGCCTATTTTCTAAAAAAGTAGACTGGTCCTTTAAAATTATTTAGTAAAGTTTAGCCAGAAAAGGTTTTTATGTGTTTAGCCAAGTTTTCATAAGCTAAACTAACAAGCTAAAAGTGCTCCTGCTAGTTCCAGAGATTGACTAAATTAAATCAAAAATGGTAAAATTCAACAGTTTAACCCTTGGGGAGTTATAAAATGAGCCCATATTCTTAAAAAGTGGAGTTCTCCTTTAAGAAATATTTAGTAAAGTTAAGCCAGAAATAATTTTTTATATGTTAAAGTAAAAAGTCTAATGTAATATCATTTGTGTTAGTTTTTTTCAAAGGGTTTTTACTTTATGTATTATATTTGTGTAATTCTGAATAGTTTTTACCATGAAGATAGCCAATAAAGCTGACATGGCATTAAATAAAAGATACAATACGATACAATACAATGTTTTCAGTAAATGACTATTTTAAACACAGAAAATACTGATATTTTGAACTAACTTTTGTGAAGTCAAATAAAGCAAAACTGTTACTGTAAATATTTTTGTGCTTTCTACTTTTAGGCTGAAACCAAGTTCTACAACGGCTTGTTGTATTATGGGGAAGGAGGTAATAATTGCTGTTTTGGTTTCTTTCTTTTGGACCTTCTGCACAAGAATCTTTTTTACTCAACATGACATTAAACAATAATTTTATATTTCATCTGGAATTAATTCTTTAATGAACCGAATGATCAGAATGCTTTGATTAATTTATTAGATTATTATTACCTGACTCCATTTGATAACTTTTCTTTTTTTATGGATTTGCAGTGTCAGACACCAGCGTGGTGGAGGGAGAGTCTCAGATTCAGATGGGCCGCTTCGTTTCCTTTTTACAGGTGTGATATTGTAGTCTTTTTTTCCCCCATTGAGCCAAAAGTAAAAATAGTCACACCACAGCTCCAGTTGCAAAATATTTATTATATTCTCACCGCAGGTGGCATATCATGCTAAGACACTCTTTATCAGATGTTATTCAATCATATAACATTAAAATAAAAGCAATAAAGTTAAGTTGAAGTTGATTTATTGTCATTGTGCTACATGTGTGGACCTACACATGGAATGATGTTTACTTAAATAAACATAATCATGAATATCAACACAACACTGGACGTAGGAGCTATTTTAAACATATACATAACTTACATACTGGAGAGGTACACATATACTATGAATATTATTGTATTTAGGTTATATACTCATAGTCTAAGACAGACTATACAAGTTGTTTTATATAAGACAAAAAATAAGAAATATTGTGCACGAAGGTATTTTAAGGTTGAAGAAAGCAAGTAGCGCACACGATTTGCGGTAAATTCACTGGTAAACATTGTTTTCCTTATTCACCTTATTCTCAGCTGACGAGCGGGCGCTGCCATTTGAATCTTTTTGTCTCGCGACTTCCGGTCACATTCACTTCCATTTATTTTTTGACGTTAACAACTGCTCGTTACGCTGCTTGATGTTGCAATTTAATATTTTCCTATTATATTATGCTACTTGGTCTGTGTAGTCATGCAAACATTTGTTTGTTGAGCAAGTAGTTTGGCCATTTTCTGCCGTTTATCATTCCTTGTCATTTCTCCCATAGGCGACTGAATCGGAAGTTCTAAGACAATCGCGAAAACAGGCGCACTTCCGCATTTTAGAATAAGGTCAATAGGGTGTATGCCGAAGCATGCTAATAGGACTTTTAATTTGCCAGTAACCTGGGTTAATCGTTGCCGGTGAATTGTATGCAAATGCAAAATTGGCGCGTTTAAGGTCTGTTTTCTTTAAAAATCAGCTATCTCCACTGGCTGAGTGATATCCAATATAAAGTGGGTCTCAGATTGTACAAAAAGCACTGCATTAAATTACATCCCTCCGCCATGTCTTTATAATATGAGCATTTATTTGACCCCAGTATATTCAATGGAGCTTCTGCGCTAACCTGCCGATTTGACAGGCGTGCGAGAAAACGACTTTTTGTCTCGTTTTACACTTGAACAACTAAATGAATGCCAAAGTCTGTTTAACTGATTGTATTTTAATGACATTACAACATCGATGCTGTAAAGGAATCGTATAAAATGGAAGAAACCTCACAATAACAGGTCACCGGAAGATTATCAGTATGGGAAACACACTAGCTCGGCATATACCCCATTGAGTCCTTGTAAGATGGAGTTTAGGTAAAGTGTTCAGTGCCAGTAGAGAGAAGAGTGGTTCTACAGGTGGTTTGTCAAGCCCACTCACCTTTGTGAGGCACACACAGAAATGCACAATGTTTTTATCTACAGATATGAAGTAATTTAAACTGACAAAAAGAAAGTCGTCCAAGTGTCAGAAAGATAAAAGAGTGTTTTCTACAGGTGGTTTGTCATTAAAATACACATTAACATTATTTTATTTATTTATTTATTATTTATTTATTTAATTTATTGTAGTTTTTAGTTTTAAAGCACAAAGAATACAATCACATAGGTGACTAGAAATAAAAAAAAAAACATAAAAGAAAAGAAAAGACAAACAAAAATAAGAAAAATACCATACATAATACCAAAAAAGCATACATTAAAAGAAAACAAATAAATAAATAAAACCTCTTCAGTTAAATACAGTTTTGCGGATAACCACAGCATCAAATATAAACAAGGCGGTGGTTAAATAAGCATTAATGTTCATTTTTTTGTTCCAGGAGCTGTCTTGCTTTGTGTCACGCTGTTTTGAGGTGGTGGTCAACATGGTTCATCAGTTAGCTGCTTTATACAACAGTAGCAAGTAAGAAATGACAAATATTTCAATATTATGTAGTGGTACTTGAATTCAGTATTGCTTCATTATTTGTTTTTTAAATCTCAGGGGTGCAACAAAAATCATCGAGTCCACAGGTGTTCACTTTCAGGTGACGTCACCTATGTTTTCTTTGCCATCTTAAAGCGTTAGTCCACCCCAAAAATGTTAATTCTGTTTTTAATTACTCCCCCTCATAATGTTCCTAAGATGGTTGTTTGTTTCCATAACACAAATTAAGATATTTTTGATGAAATCTGAGAGCCCTCTCATCTAAAGTTGCGAGACGTTCCAACTCTTACTTACTTCACTTTTTACTTTATTTATAAAGCGCAGTAAAACAACAGTTGTTGACCATTGTGCTTTACATACCTTGGGTTATAAATGATCAAAAATAGACAACAAAATATAAAACAGCATACAGTACCACCAACATACCACAAAAACAATGAAAGCATACAACAGAAACAAAGATAGGCCCAATAAGATAAATTTCATCCCAGTTTAATAGCTTTTTCTAAGAGGTGTAGTTTGATTTTCCATTTGAACAAGGATTCATTAGAGATTGTTCTAATAGACATAGTTAGCCCATTCCACATTTTAGAACCTACTACAGAAAAGGGGACTTTTAACTTGGTTTTCTGGTTCGACGCCTTTAAACATCTGCCAGTTATTTTAACAGTAATAGGATTAGAAAGATAAGATGGTGCCTGACCATTCAATACCTAAAAAACATAAAGTAAAAATTTAAACTCTATTCTAAAACATATCGGCAACCAGTTTAGGGAGCACAGGAATGTGTAATGTGTTCAAATTCACAGGTGCCAGTAAGAAGCCTAGTGGCTATATTGTGGACTACTTTTAGGTGAAGAGGTTGTATCAAGAAAGATTCATTTATGCATTTATATCATCACGCTTGGAATATTGTGACTCAGTTTATATAGGTATTAGCCTATATAAACCTCTGATCTTAGTCTAGGGTAAAAGGAATAACAATTTAAAAGGTGTGGTACTTTTACAATGTCAGAGTCTAAGCAAAAGACACTGACAACAAAACCGCCAACAAAAGTGATTTAAAGGGCACATAGTTGTCCCCCTTTTTTGTGATTTAATATTAACATGGTTGTTCTGAGTGTGCCAGTTTAGGTTCAGTTTAAAACAGTTCAGATTTTTTAATATAATGTGTTCAAATGTGTTATTTTGGGGGCGTGTACACAGCTCGTTGTTTTAGAGGTGTGTTGCTTTACATGAAAATTAGTTTGACTTCCCGCCCAACGTAACAAGGGGGTGGAGCCAAGAGCTCACCTGCTCTGTGTTTGGCAACAAACAGGCAGACAGAGGGAAGCAACATGAGTGAGAGGATCAGCATTTAGCCATACATTTGCGACTCGGACACAGACCAAGCAGAGAGTACACAATCATTTGTGTCATTGTATAGTTTTACAGCTAACTGTGTGCTAGTTTAAAGTGCCAAGCTTGTACACAGAGACTAATAACCACGCACACTGAATTAACTTTGACTGAGGCACCGGATGCGTCGATCTGAGCCACAACACGGCACACCAGACACGCACATTCGGATATTATTTAAAATGAAACTATTCAGATGGCGCTCTGTGGTGCGGCATGAAGTGTCCCGAATCGAGGCTGGGTGCCGCGGACAGCCGCTGACTTGAAGCGCCGGTGTGTGTACCCTGATAAAAATGTTTGGAATTCTAAAATGCACGGCACTGTATGCGAGCGACGCTTCTGATGTGCCACCTGCAGGCAAGTTTGTTATTTTATTTCCAATGGAGAGACACGCACGTGAGGCATTGCGCTCGCACTTTCCAGCTGCACCTAGTTAAGATCACAGGGAGCTTCTGTGAACGCGAGAAATGCAAATGGATGATAGTTTAAGGTAGACACAATGAAAAGTACACTTTGCAAACTTACCTAAAGTTACAAACAATAATTCCGATTACAGCAATCATGTGGTGAATGTTGATCTTGTGTTAAGCCCAATGAGCCTTACATTTAAAAATAGAGCAAGGGTGTTCCTTTAGTGATATCCCTTTGACTCACAGGCTGAAAATGGCGGACTTAAATCGACAAACTGAGGATATGTTAATGCGCGCCTGTCAATCAGTACTTGTGGGTTGTGGGTGGTGGGTTTACGTCAAGTTGCGGTCGCTCTGAAAACCACTACAATTGGTCCACCGTTTTTAAGTGGTTAAAAAAAGGACTGTGTGTGTTTTATATCACCACAATATGACGGTCTATACACTATACCTACACACGTCTGTCCAAACAGCTTAAAAAAATTTTTCAAAAATTAAAACCAGAATAATGCCCAAATATATATACAAAAAAGAAATATTTACAATAATAAAAAGAATGTAATAAAGTAGCAAATTTAAACAAAGTATCAAACAAAAACTACTTCAACTCAAAAGTAAAGGGTCGATAGTGAAGCCAAACAAAAGACAGAAATATAACAAAACACTTCTAACTCATGAATAATCCCTTACCTGGCTAGAAACAGATGAAAAGAAAAGAAAAGTCTTCAGCGCCGCATTCTTTCCTATACTGAAGTGTAGAATACAATAAATACAAAGATGGCGTTCATCTCATTTCTACATGTTTGCAAAATGGAAGTTGTACGACATCTTCCCTATCCACCTTACTCTGAGAACAGAGTGAACTTAAAGTATATATCTCAATATTTTCGGGAAAACAAATCAATCAAATCAATCGAAATAAAGATGTACAAAAATCACAAAGTTTCTCAAAAATGGCCAAAAGTAATACAAAATTATTTTACCCAAACGAAAGTTAAGCAAAAACAATGAAAAACACACAAAACGAGATCAAAGGAAAAAGCACTGTCCTCCTCTCTTCCTGGCTTCCGTTTTTATATGACTGCGCCACGTCACATAATGATGATAGACTGGCGTCCTGACCAATCAGTTGTTGCGAAGGTGGGCCTAAAAGAAATGACAGGCTCTGCGAAAGCACGCGCGAGAGAGAGAGTGGGAGGCAAAAATACAAAAAATATAAGGCTACAAACGTAAAACTCTCTAGAAAAAAAACAATCAAATCATTTAATGTGGCTTCATTTGCTCAATTGTAATCATACAAAGCTCCACTAACCTTTTTATGCACAAAAAAACTGTAAAAACAAACTTTTTGGTCAAGGTCTTCGATATTAAAACAGGTCCAAAGTGTTCTTTGAATATTTGTAGTTCAGTCACTGTAGGCACATGGAATTTTGTTTGTTCCTTTTCTGGCATTTCGAGACCCTTATATGCTGTATATTGAGGATGAGAGAGCTCCAGGATATCATCTAAAATATCTTAATTTGTGTCTCAAAGGTTTTTAAAGACAGGAGGGTGAGTAATGTATAACACAATTTTCATTTTTGGGTGAACTAACAGTTTAATATGCTTCTTCACCGCTCCCTGAAGATGGTTTCTCTTTTTTTTATACAATCAGACAGTTTATGAACATCTGGGAGAGCTTCTTGTGGTCCTCATAACCCTGGATGAGATCATGGAGAACCACGCCACTCTAAAAGAGCACTGGAAAATGTACAAAAGGTAGAGTGAAACCTTTTCGCTGATGCTATAAAATGAAGATAAAATATGAAATATGATCATGTCAAATGGTGTTTCTGTTTGCATTTTAAATTAGTTTTTATTTTAGTACTATTTTTAAGTTTGTTGTGCATTTCAGTTTAGTTTCATTAATAGTTTTGTTCATTTTTAATGTTTCTGTTTAGTTTTTACATATTTATTTACAGTTTTAGTTATTTTAGTTTACTGTCCATTGATGACCAAAGAAAAGTTGAGTGTTTGTACATCTTGTAGGAAATTTTGGAATAAAAATAAAATAATATTAAAAGAGATTGAAGCTAAAATCACATACAAATGCAGCTTAATTAATAAAAGTAAAACATTATGGAAGATTTAGACAGACTTCTTCATAATAGTCATAATAATGATCATACTGTATATGTAGTTAAACTTGCCTAGTTACATTTTTGGCAAATAAAGAAGAGATTATTTCTTTTTGTTGATGTTTTTGTATATAATGATGCTCTTGACAGACCTGTTTTACTGTAAAAGCGCATCTTCAGGTGTTTCTTTAAACAGCAGCCGCAGTTTAGATTTTCCACTTATGAATAAAAAAAAAACGTTTATTTATTTTTGCTAATTATTATTTTATTTCAGCCAGTTTTTTCAGACACTGTTGTTAGTTTTGTGTTTTAGTTTGTCATTTGTTGTCACTTTTTAATTTTATTTCAGCTAATGAAGTTTTGTGACCAATATTTTGACTTTGTTTCATTTTTTGTTCGCTAAAATGACCATGTGAAGAGATTTTCTGATCACAAACCCTGCATTGTTTCCTAAAGGTTGCTGAAATCTGTCCATCATAACCCAGCGAAGTTTGCCATTCCAGAGGAGAAGCTAAAACCCTTTGAGAAGCTAATTTTTAAGCTGGAGGGGCAGCTGTTGGACAGCATGATCTTTCAGGTTGACGTTGTTTCTACACTTCCTCATTTTAATGTTTTTGAAACCCTTATTATTAAAGGCATAGTTTGATCAAATTCAATCGTTATTTACTCATCCTTCACTTGTTCCAAACCTGTTTGATTTTCTTTCTTTTAAGGAAGATATGGTGTAGAATGTTGTAAAAACAGTCAATGACTTTCATAGGATTGAATGAGAATGATAATGGCTTTTTTTGAAAAACATACATATATTAAATATTATATATAAACATATATTTTGATACAATCTTGTAAAGATGTTTAGACATATCCAGTACATAGATAAAATGCTTAAATATGTATTGTAAAAATGACATGTTTGCACGTAATTGTAAAAAAAAAAAGTAGTTTCATAAAACTATACTATATGCATGTAATTGGTAATATACATACATACATACATGAATTTGTATATTAAATATTAAGGTAAATTGGCAGGGTTGGTGATGGGAAATGGGGAAAAAGGAGCGAGGACTCAAGTGCAGAAAAAATGGGAATTTATTAAATAATAAAAATAAAATAAAATGCAAAATAAACTACCCCGAGGGGGAAAACATTAACAAAACAAATACATACACAAACAAACTTCACTGGGCTGGCTGGTAAGGAACAGGACTGGAAACATGACAAGACAAGGGTTCAAACAACAACATGTGATGACGAACTGGCACAGGACAGCAAAAGTGAGGGGTATATAAACTGTAGAAAATTAACACACAAACAGGTGAACACAATTAACTAATAATGGGTAAACAAGGAGGGTGGGACTAGACAATAGACGGGAGAGCGCATGACACAGAGAGACAATACAAGCCATGCGCTCACATAACACAACACTGAAGCACACGACAAAAGCACGTGACCACAATGTAAACACCGAGCCACGTGCTTTGACAAAAGACGCAAGACACGAGCACACGATGAATGAAAACACTCACCGTGCGCTCACACACGCAGCGTGCATGCTTCATCCCAGCGCCGACCAAAACCGAAACCAACAAGACTGAGACGCTGGGAATGAAACACCACACTGCTGACAGACGAAAACACAAACACGAGTACAAGAGCGCACGCGTCTGAGTGACGCAGAGCGCGCGCGCGGCCGCATCAAGCAGGAGCGCTCACACTCTGCGTACACCCACGATGGCGCGCGCACACACAGAGACAGAAACAGGACCAGACATGGGTAGTGTCCGAGTTCTGCCACCAAAACAAGAATTTACAAGACCAGAGTGGCAGAACCCTGACAGTAAATATTTCGGTAAAAAAGTTTTTTTTTTTCACTAAATTTTTTGGCTGAATTATTGTGCTTTGAAATGTCAGGAGTGTTTAATTTGTTGTGTTATTTATTGTTTTATTTGTTTATTTTGTTATTTTCTTTATATATTATGTTTGTTTTTCATGCAGGCTTGGCTCTTTGAATGGCTAAAAATGTGATTCCTTTAGAAATAGTAGAATTTTAAAAATCTAAATAGATCTTAAAAGGCCGTTTTAGTTTTGTTTATTTTATTTTATTTATAGATGTTTTTTTTCATTTATTTATGGTTGTTTATGTCTTATAATTGCTATAAACCCATGTATTACGAAAAGAGTCATACATTAAAAACTGCGTGAAGTTAGTGGCTGAATTATTGTGCTTTGAAATGTCACAAGTGTTTAATATGTTGTGTTATTTATTTTTCTATTTGTTTATTTTGTTATTTTATTCATTCTTTTTATATGTTTTGTTTTTCATACAGACTTGAGCCTTTGGAAGATTTAAAATGTGATTCCTTTAGAACTAATAGATTTATTTTTAATCAAACTAGATCTTTAAAAGCGGTTTTAATTTAAATTTGTTTATAGATTTTTCATTTATTTATTGTTGTTTAACTCTTTTTTCTTGCTATAAACCATCTATATCTATTAGGGAAAAGTGTTATTCATCAAACACTGCTTTTTCTTACTCTCTCACTTTTTCTTTCTCATATGCAGGCTTGTGTGGAACAGAGGTTTGATAACCCAGGAGAAAATGTATCCGTCTCTAAGAACAGTGCCTTTGCAGAGGAGTTTGCGTACAATATCAGAACCATTTTTGCCAACGTTGAGTCAAAGCTTGGTTTGTATTAATAGTTATATTAATATTGCACCAAATGGCTTTATTGAGACATCATGACTGCGGAAAAAAAATCCTTAATGCATCTGAATTACGCAGGTGAGCCATCAGAGATTGACCAGCGGGATAAATATACGGGTGTTTGTGGCCTATTTGTGCTCCACTTCCATATCTTCAGAGCTGTGGACAAGAAGATCTACAAGTCCCTGCTGGACGTGTGTAAAAAAGTGAGTGCACTAACTAGTGAGATGAAAACTTTGTGTCTATCTGCTCTCCAAGTATAATCTCATTTGCTTTGGCTCTTCCTCCAGGTTCCTGCTGTGACATTAGCAGCTAATATAATCTGGTTTCCGGACACGTTTCTGATTAATAAAGTTCCAGCGGCAGCTAAACTGATGGACAAGAAGAGTCTCCAGAGCATTCGCAGCAGTAGAGATGTGTTTCTGCAGCAAAAAGCTCAGACACTAATGAAGTAAGACACATTTCTGATGTCCAGGCCTCTGGAAATCCTTAAAAACTTTGAATCTAGTGTTTTCAAAGTGCTTGGAAATATACTTATGTTGCTTTCATAATGATTTGTTACTAAATGGGTAATAATAATAATGAACTATTTAAATAAAATTAATATTTTTGGTTTAGCATAAAATGAAAACTCTGGAGTCTATGGATATGCTTGTAGCCTAGTCATTTTCAATGTTCACTTTATTTAAGTAGCACATGTTAATACAACAAAAGTTGACCACAGTGCTGTACGCCAACAATAAGAATTAAACACTAAGTACAATGTCCTTACCTACAATAAGAGCTTAATTATCTTAATATCTTCACACAACCCAAAATTTAATCTTCATATTTACAAGCACAATACGTACCAGATAACAGTTTAAATAATAAAACACATTTATATAGGGTCAAATGCTAATGGAAAATAAAATTTTTGTCAAATAAGTCAATTACATTTTAAGAGAGTTAATTTTTGCTTGGAATAATAGCATTTACAGAATACTACAACAAACATGATCTGGTTTAATGTAGTATGAACTATGCACTGTATATGTATGTAAACATGCAGTTTGCCACTGTAAAGTGCTGGAAAAGTTTGAAAATGCATCTGAAAAGTGCTTAAGTCTTACTTTAAAATGTGTAAGAACCCAGGATGTAATTAAAGTGCCCATATTAAGTTTTTTCAGATTCCTGGTTTTGTTTTGGGAGTTTTTTTAACCTAGGCATACGTTAGGTGTTTGCGACATTCATTCATTCATTCATTTTCTTGTCAGCTAAGTCCCTTTTTTAATCCGGGGTCGCCACAGCGGAATGAGCCGCCAACTTATCCAGCAAGTTTTTTACGCAGCAGATGCCCTTCCAGCCGCAACCAATCTCTGGGAAACATCCACACACACACTACGGACAATTTAGCCTTCCCAATTCTCCTGTATCGCATGCATTTGGACTGTGGGGGAAACCGGAGCACCCGGAGGAAACCCACGCGAACGCAGCGAGAACATGCAAACTCCACACAGAAATGTCAACTGATCCAAGGATCGAACCAGCGACCTTCTTGCTGTGAGGCGAACGTGCTACCCACTGCGCCACTGCGATGTTTGCGACATTTATCATCATAACATTTTGTAATTGGTGTTTTAACATTGACTAAGGGGGCTTTCACACCTACACTTTTGTTTCGGAACGTATCTCGTTTGCCCAGTTAGTGCGGTTCGATTGGCATATGTGAACAGGGCAATCGCGCTCTGTTCTGCGTCAAAGTAATCGCTCCGAGATCGCTTGAATGAGGTGGTCTCGGCTCGATTGAAACGAACCCTGGAGCAGTTCGATTGCATTGAGAAAGCGATCCGATCCGAGCGCGGTTATATCACAGTGTTTTATGGATATGTAATAGGCTTACGGCTATTTGAAGAGAGAATTATGAGTAGGGCGGGAAGTTTCGCGAGTCTCCGGATGCCCGCAAATGAGTGATGATCTCCCGGTAATCTCGCGTCTCTCTCCCAGTCCTCAAATAGGCATCGTCGCGCACCCTTCTCACCCCTCCCCACCGTGTCTCTCCTCAGACACGTCACGCGCGCGCACCCTGTCAATCACCACCAAACCACCACCTCTCCTGACAGCTGAGCGGTACGCTGCAAAATAAACCCTGACACTCTGACCAATGTAAGGAGAGTTTACTCGCACGTGACTTGTTTTAGCTCTTTTGGTCCGATTAGAAACTTTGCAGTGTGAAAGCGAACCGCACCAAGAGCAAAGAGCAACAATGTAACAATTTTAATCTCTGTTTCGGAACAACTGAATCGATTCACAGGTGTGAAAGCACCCTTAATGTTAGTATGTATTTACAGGGCTTGACATTAACACCCGCCAACCCCCCAGATGCAGGTAGCTTTCAGCTGTGGCTGGTTAGACTGACACTCCCACTAGCCACTTTGGCTGGTTAGAATTTTTTTAATTTTTATTTGTATTTTTTTTTTGACAATATGCATGGCCCAATATTTGTGCAAATGTAATCTTGAGTCTTGTGAATCGAGAAGCAGCATGACTGACAAAAATAATTGTGTTTGCGCAAGCAAAAGAAAGCAGGCGAATAGAGATGATGGGATGTGCGCGATTATTTAAAAAGCGTGAGTGTTCCCGTTTACTTGCCAGCCTAGAGGAAACACAATTGGGCGATCTGTTCTCTTTGAAATAAACTGCGATGATTGTGCCACAGTCCTGCTGCTTTCAAGAGCTCAATATTTTTTAAAAATATAATACAAATAATATATATATATATATATATATATATATATATATGTATATATATATATATATATATATATATATATATATATATATGAGCAGTATCACACGAGTAGCAAGCAGTGTGCTATGGCTGTATTGGTGGGAGGCGTGCGATGCACACTGCTACAATAGTGATATTAGCACACTGCTGCGAGTGTGATATTGTGTTTATACAACAGTTCGACGGCACAATCTTGTACATAAAAAAAAAAACATTTTTCACATGTGCAGCTGACGTCAGAAAAGCAGAAACTTTAGCAGTCACTTTAGAGATAGTATTTGAATGATTCTCTATAGCGTAATGTGAAGCTGCGCTTCTGGGGCCTCATGTACGAAGACTTGCGTGGAAATCATTCTAAAACATTGCGTACGCACAAAGCTGTAAATGTGCGTACGCCGAATCTCACGCATATTCTTTTGTACATCCGAATGAACGTGAAACTGAGCGCAACATGCACGAGCACAAAACCCCTCCCTGACTCCTCCCCCGTATGAATATGCTAATGACTCTACTTTGGCAAAACCCAACGAAAAAGCAATGGCAAAAGCAAGCAAAAAGAGAAACTGAACAGAATGTGAATTGGAGGTGCTGCTTTCGGAGGTAGACCGGAGGAATAAACAACAAAAGAAAAAAAATAGAGTGGGAAAGTTTAGCTGATGCGGTTAACACAGTTGGGTCTGAACATCGCACTGAGTGAATTAAAAAAGAAATATTGTGGTTTATAGGTGTAAAATGTTGCAGTACTCTTAACAGTCTCAGTGGCGCTGCTCGTAAGACGCATATCAACATGTTTTGACACGTTTGAGCATGAACTCGGTTCGAATCCAGCGTCTGATGAACACTTTCCTCTTTTTTCCCCCGCTACATATCAGATTTTGCCAACTATTTATCACGAGAAAGACAAGTAGGAACCATTAATAAGTTTGTGCATCAATTTTATTTGCACATTTATTGAATGGAAATGTTTCTGATTCACGCATGCAAATTCATCTTCAGATAGTGTCTTTATAGCGATGTGCGTGCGGTAGATAGCTCAGTTTACATTGGGAAAACAGGCGACCGCTGCAAATTGCGCTTTAATGTTTAGCTGGTCAAATGTATGGTATGGAAACCTTATATACCTGCTAGATGAACCCGTCTCATACAGCTGCCATTGCAAGGCTCAGACACTTTGTAGAGAGGAATTTACCACAACTGCCTCTAGGAGTCGCCAATGGAAATAAAACAGACACGCACAAAAAATGTGCGTACGCCAGCCATAAAGCTGCGGTGAAGCTGCGCACATTTCCACGTTCAGTTCATTGTTAGTAAATCCAAACGTGAGCGATTCTGAGCGTGAAACCTGGCGTACGCAAAGTTTTTGTGCGTACGCAGCGTTGATACATGAGGCCCCTGGTGTGTGACCCCCTTACTTTTGAAAATTTTGCTCACATTTTAAGATTAGAAGGCTGAACGTGACATCAAATGCCTTCCTCAAGAGAACACACTGAGCAAGGGCTTATTATACGGTTCTGGCGCCATCTTGTGGATCGACAATGTCAACCATCTATGGCCACCGACAAGCTCTCAGAAATTGTAAATATTTAAAAATAGGCACTATTCTACTAATAAACTGCATAGTTTCAATCTAAAAACACTACATGCTCGACTAAAAAAGCCTCAAAAGCACATTTTGTTGTCTAACAACAGTAATATTTGTCAAACTGTAACCTGTTTGTTGCTTGCTGTATCTAGGTGGGTTAGTTATATATTAGTAGTGGGCCGTTATCGGCGTGAACGTGCTGCCTTAACGCGAGACTCTTACCGCGCGAAAAAAAAAAAAAAAAACGTTAATCTGTTCTCAAAGTTGAGCTGGGTCTGTTCTACGCAAGCTATGATGACTTTCTCCTTGATATTTTAGCGCGCATGTATACCTGACCGGTGAGCCGTCTGACAAAAAAGTGCCCTTCTGAATCCAATCAGCAGGATGCCTGACTTTAACAGCAGTTCAGCAGTTTCACTTTAACTCATGAACATTTCATTCATGCCCCTCTGAAAAACTGGGGTATTAGACGCAAAGAAGGAGTAAGGACTGGTGAGAGTGTTATGGAATATAATAACGCACGCCAAACGGAAAGAAAAAATCTTGTGCATTTTGCGATGTGTGATATATATAAATTTACATATAATTTTTCAAGTGTTTTCATAAGGGATTTATATAGGGCTGATATTATAGCTAGCATTTTCTGTGTGCAGGGACATGCAGTCCTACTACATATTTGTAACCTCCTGGATGATGAAGATGGAGTCGATATTATCAAAAGAACCAAAACCAGACAAGCTGTCCGAGGATTTGAGCAACAGGTGTAATATTTTTGTGCAGGTATTAACTGATATTTGTTCTTCAGTTTTTACTTAATTACATTTCCAGTGCATTTCATAATCAGATGTGTTTGTATTTGAACAGGGAATACTGTATGCTTACAGCATCAGCACTATCATCAAGACCACTATGAACATGTACATGTCCATGCAGAGACCCATGACCAAGACCTCGGTGAAGGCCCTGTGCCGATTGGTCGAACTGTTAAAAGTAGGTTAATGAGTTAATCCTTTAAGTATTTCAAGCAGACTTTTCTTGCATTTTATATAAACTTTTTATAGCATAGTTTACTGTTTGTTAGCTACTAGACAGTTTTTACTGAAGGTCTAGTACAGGCTATTCAATTGGCGGCCCACAGGCCAAATCCGGCCCCCAAGACAATTTGTTCCGGTCCTCCAAAAAAGTGCGACCAAGACATCGAGAATAAATTTAGTTCAGTCGAAATGATTAAGTATGTATGAACGCAGATAATAACAACACTTCATTTAAATTCTTAGCTAATATATAGCTTAACTTTAGACAAATACTACTTTTTATTTATTCTTATTGTTATTTATTTATTCATTGTACTGTCAGTTATTGTTGTAGTAAAATTAGCACTCATGTTTAAATCAAAAACTTTTTCATTTCCAAGTCCAAAGAGAGATATGGACTGCTGTTTGCTTTTTATTAATATTTTGTGCTGTATTTGGATACTGAGCAGCAATAAACAACACTTTAAAATATCAGCAGTTTCCTTGTAATTTTCTAAACTAGTAGTGTTTTGAATTTAATAAATGCATAATAATCGTGATAACCGTAAAACCATGATTATTCTTTAGACTATAATCGTACAATCAATATCTATAACGGTTGCTTCCCTAATTGTTACGCAGTTCGAAACATAACAAATGAATGTTTTTGCATGTAGAAGAAGCCTACTTTAGCAATACACCGATTTTGTTGTGCTTCAAAACACAACATTTGAATATGTTTGTAACTACAATTACAATTTTATGCATTGTGGTGTTCAGAAAATGTAGACATTAGAGGGGTAGTTCACCCAAAATGGGTTAGTTCACCCCCAAAATAATAATTCTCACTTTAAATAATATACAAAATATACAGTTGAAGTCAAAATTATTAGCCCCCTTAATTATTATTAGCCCCCCTTTTTTCCCCCAATTTCTGTTTTAACAGAGATTTTTTCAACACATTTCTAATCATAATAGTTTTAATAACTCATTTCTAATAACTGATTTATTTAATTTTGCCATGATGACAATAAATAATATTTTACTCGATATTTTTAATACACTTCTAGACAGCTTAAATAATAACTAATAATTCTGACTATATATATATCACCCATACATAAAACCCAATTCTAGCAACATTTTAGCTGATCATCTATTAACCTCTCTATCTCTATTAGAGGTGTCTTTGTCAGTATGGTTAAAAAACAGTATTTACTATGCAGTACTTTAGTATATTTTCATGCGGGTGTCTTGAAAACTAAAAATAGATCTGGTACTAAATATATACTAGTTAACATTTATTATTATTTATTTAGGATATGCATTTTCACATTCTGATTTTGGGCATAATATGGCCCTACAATAAAAACAATATCATTTATCGCAATATATTTTGGTGTGATATATCGCACAACAAAAAATGGATATCGTGACAGGCCTATCCAACATACAGTTGAAGCCAGAATTATTAGCCCTCTTGTATATTTTTCCCTCAATTTCTGTTTAACGGAAAGAAGCTATTTTCATGAGACTTTTAATCAGTACTAATGGAAACTCTGATCCAATGCGACCCATTGCTTTTTCTCATGCTGGACAATTTATCACTCTCATCCATCAACCGAAGAAAGATTCTGTCAGTAGTTCTGACTTGGGACACTATGGCTGGATCCATCTGCTCCAACTGATCTATCCTGGAGGCCCTACTGGACATTATTAGTTTGGAATACACCACAGCCAAAATAAGTAGTGCCAGTAAAAAAAACTGTATATTTTTGGTTAAATATGAGATAGGCTGTATCAGAAATGTTTTAATCCTGATTTTGTACTTATTATCACAATATTACTGTTTTTATTTTACTTTACACTTTTTGTCGGGTGGATCTCTGGCTTTGTTTAAAATCAAAATGTTCCAAAAATAAATAAATAAAAAAAGAAGATATTTTCAACACATTTCTAAACATAATAGTTTTAATAACTAATTCCTAATTTCTAACTGATTTTATTTATCTTTGCCAGGATGACAGTAGATAATATTTTAACTTAAAAGGCTTAACTAGGTTCATTAGGCAAGTTAGGTTAACTAGGCAAATCATTACATAACAATGGTTTACTCTATACACAAACCAAAAATATATAGTATAAGGGGGCTAATAATATTGACCTTAAAATATTTATTATAAAATCAAAATCAGCTTACATTCTAGCCAAAATAAAACAAGTACGACTTTCTCCAGAGGAAAGATATTGCAGGAAAACTTTCTTGCTCTATTAAACATGATTCGGAAAATATTTGAAAAAGAAAAAAAAAAAATCACAAGAGGGCTAATCATTTAGTCTTTAACTGTATAGCTTGTACACTAATTGCATGATGTCTAAAACACTAATTGTGTTCTATCAGGAAGTATTTATATGGGTGTTTGTTTGGCACAGGCTGTAGAGCATACGTTCCACCGCCGCTCACTGGTCGTAGCAGATTCAGTGTCCCACATCACACAACAGCTGCAGTCTCAAGCTCTGGTCTCTATCTCAATGGCTAAGGTACAATCGAATTACTCATAAATTAGCACTATGTATCGGGTATTGCGGACAATGACGGGATGTTTTCTTCATTCAGAAACGAGTGATCTCTGATAAAAAGTACAGCGAGCAGAGGCTGGATGTGCTTTCGGCTTTGGTTCTGGCCGAAAACACTCTGAACGGGCCGAGCACCAAAGAGAGGAGGTTGATCATGTCGCTGGCTCTCAGTGTTGGCACTCAGATGGTGAGTATAGATCAGTAAAGAGCATTTTTCAATCAAATCAATAACTTTTAAAAAATGCAACATTTTCAAAATGCATAATGCCAAGAGATTTGTTTTATGTCTTGTTCTGTGTTATTTTGTGTGTATGTGTTATTTGAATGTGTGTGTGTGTGTGTGTATATATATATATATATATATATATATATATATATATATATATATATATATATATTAGTGCTGTCAAAATTTGTGCGTGAATGCATACGATTCATTTGAAATATTTAACGTGTTAAAAACAATTAACGCAGTTGCAGTTTTTTTCCTGTTGTGGTCGACGTTTGTTTAATAAGCAAAGAAATGTGGATAAGACCAAGGAAGCACTTTTTGAAAGGTTCAGTATAAAACAATTAATGTCGCATCACCAGGCTATCCAGCGTTTCCCCCGGAGTTTCATCTAATTTTGTATTCTTTTTTTTCTTTTTCAATTTTTTTTGTTTCTTTTTCAATTTTTCAACTTTTGTTTTAATTGAATTTGATACCACATGCTGAACGAAAAGAAAAAACTCTGCATTTTGTGACTCCGTGGTCCTTTATGGCAATCAAAAATCACTGTTTATTATTGAGTATTGGGGTCCATGTAAATGTATCAGTGTATCAGTGCCAAATGATGTAGCGAGCTGTCAAAGTCAGCGCATTCTTCTGCCTTTCAGCATGCGCCCCTAAAATATTTCATTTTCAAGAAATTTTCAGTCTTTTAAATGTGATTAATCATGATTAATTGCAAAAAGAAGTGTGATTAATTAGTTATTTTTTTTACTCGAGTGACAGAACTAATGTGTATATACACACACACACACACACACACACACACACATATATATACACATATATACATACACACACATACGTGTCTGCTTGTGTTATCCCAAAATCTCAGTCCAGGAGGGCCGGTGTCTGCAAAGGTTAGTTGCAATCCCATTCAAACACCTGGGCTGGCTAATCAAGCTCTTATTCGGCTTTCTAGTAACATCCTTGCTGGTGTTTTGAAGCAAGTTGAAGCTAAAATCGGCAGGACATCGGCGATCCAGGACCGAGTTTGGGCACCTCTGTGTCCTCTTTATGTTCTGTACTGAGTGTTATTGTTGTTGTTTTTTTTCTGTTTTGTTAAATGCTGTGTTTTGATTAGTGTTTTTTGTGTGTGTGTTCGGATTTCTTTTACGCTCTTAAATGTTGTATTCTGTTGTACCCTGACTTGTTTTAATTTGTGGTGTTTTATTAAATGTTTTTTTTGTTTGTGTGTTCTCATTAATTTTATGTTCTGTGCTGTTTTTTGTTGCTTTTTATGTTAAATGCTGTGTTCTGTTTTGTTCTTACCTGTTTCGATTGGTTACGTTCTTTTTTTTTTGTTTAAGTGTTTTTGTTTTTTTATGTCAGGGGGGCCCAAACTAGGTCCTTAAGGACCATTGTCTTGCAAGGTTTAGTTCCAACTCCAATCAGACACTACTGGGCTAGCTAATCAAGCTATAACTAGGCTTTCTAGAATATCCTTGCTGGTGTTTTGAAGCTAGTTGGAGCTTAAATCTGCAGGACATTGGCCCTCCAGGACCAAGTTTTATGTGCTGTACTGTGTGTTTCTGTTTGTTTTTTCCTGTTTTGTTAAATGTTGTTTGTTTGTTTTTACACAGAAAACCTTCAAGGATGAAGAACTCTTGCCTTTACAGCTTGTGCTGAAAAAACTAGACTTAATCAGTGAACTAAGAGAACGGTAAGTTACATTTACTCAGCTAGCAATGCTATAAGCAACAGCAGATTTTAATTTGGTTTTTACAAGTGCATGATGGGATATGCTTTCTCCTCAGAGTCAAAGTGCAATGCGACTGCAGTTTTCTGTACTGGCATCGTACTGTCTTCCCCATCTACCTGGATGACGTGTATGAAAATGCTGTGGACGCTGCCAGAATTCATGTAAAACAACCTTTCAATAATACTTACTTGATTTTTTAATAACTAAATACTTTATTCATACTTTAATATATTTTCTCTAGTACATGTTCAGTGCGCTCAGAGACTGTGTGCCCACAATGCTACATGCCAAACACATGGAGTCATGTGATCAACTGCTGGAGTGTTATGACACTGAGATCATGGAAATCCTGAATGAGGTTAACAAAATGAAGGCTGTATATATACATATTTTATATATATATATATATATATATATATATATATATATATATATATATATATATTTTACCTGTATATTATACATGTATATATATATATTTTGCAATTAAATTAAATATAAATTGTAGTTTTCTGGTCTTTAGCACCTGCTAGATAAGCTGTGTAAAGAGATTGAGAAGGATCTGCGATTATCTGTGCACACACACCTCAAACTGGACGACCGAAACCCTTTCAAAGTGGGCATGAAGGATCTGGCTCACTTTTTCTCTCTCAAGCCCATTCGCTTCTTCAACCGTTTCATCGACATCAAAGGTAGGGCACATGAAACACCCTTAGTAAATAATGAATATTTTAATAGGAACATATTATCAGATGTCGGCTGTTCGTCTTTGAAATTCCCTTTTAAAATGAGTGTGCAAAATTTGTTGCAAATGTTTCAATTTGCTAGCCTAAAGTTTTGCTACCTAAAGGTATTTTTTAGGGTGATAAATGAATTGGTAAAAGTTAATCCACTGAAAAAAGATTGACTATTTGCTTTCGCGGTTGGAGTTGCGGTTCTTCTTTGTTGACATCAGTTTGACATAAACATACTGAAATAAAAGGCCCTATCATACACCCAGCGCAATGTGGCGCAAGGCGTGACGCAATTGTTATTTGCTAGTTTCAGCTTGGCGCAAGAGTCGTTTAGATATTTTGTGCCACGCTGTTTAGATAGCAAATGCATTTACGCTCATATGTGCGCCCATAGGCGTTCGAGTCTAAAAAAGCAGGCGTGTTTTAGTGCGTTGTACTGAAACTGTAATAGTCTGTTCTTTAGACCAGTTCAAACCCGGTCGAAAGTCCGGCGCAGAGTGCACCTCTCTTACACACTGCTTAATACACACAAGATGTAGAGCAATATGCAAATATCTTTACATATGAAAAATAATTAAAATATTAAGGATATAATAAGAATATATATAGGATATTAATATAAAGGATTAAAATATTACAAAACATATTATTTTCTAGCCTACATGAATTTAAAAACCTTAGATTTGTCCACCTGTCAGGTGTCAGACCAGATGGGGCACAGCATGTGTATTTGGATATAACTCAGTATTTTGAACACACTTCGTTATTATCGTTCATTTATTCATTTGCTGGAAATTAGAACTGAATTTAAAAATAGTCTTGAAACAAATATTTGTGCTTAACAAACGAAATTAATTATTTATAGGCTAATTGATGTCTGTGCGTACAAGGTTTCTCTATCCATGAGAGCAAAAGTGAAAGTGAATTATGAGATGCCTTATCTCTCATTCTCTTTGTTCTTGCTAGTGAAATGCTCAGTTTTTCCACTTCCACTTACTTTACGTCATGTAAATAGCAAATGCGCTTAAGGCACGACTGACTCTTAAAGGGAATGGGAGATGACACTCTGATTGGTTTATTCTCAAAACACACCTATAACTCATTAGGAAAATAAACTCAACCCTTTTAGACCAGGGTTTTTCAAAGTCTAAGACAGTGGGCCTCCCTTTTGACACAACTTATCCATTGGCGCCCCCCTCCTCCCAAACACGCACGCACGCATATATATAAAGACACAGACAGATGCCAGACTGTTAACTCACTTTTATCATCATTTGCATGAAAGTGAAATTATTTACAGAGTAATAACAAGTAATTTAATATAACGTTTTTAAAACTAGGATGATGGTTCAATATGAATAGAACAGTTCCAAGAACTGTCCATCCCAGTCAATACAGTGGAAGTTTAGTGGGTCTCATGCTGTCATTAGCCAAAATATTTTGACAAACCACGTTGCGGTGCGCACCTGCCTCAGATCCCACGGAAGGAGCTCTGGATCATAAAAGGAGGAACAAGGGCAGAGGAAGCCGAGAGAGGACCGGACCCGGACATATTTCACTTTTGCTTTCAGTTTGACGGCAGTCTCCGTTAGGATCTGCCGTCCGTTTGTTTTGGTTTAGACGGAGCTGCCGTCACTGTCATTAATAAATCACTTTAAAACTGCTTCGGTTCTCCGCCTCCTTCCCGGCGGCCAAAGGGCCGTGAACTTCATTACAGCTTTGAATCGGGGTGGGTCTCAGAAACCGACCCATTGTATTAGCAGGCATATAATAAACGTTTAAACATAATAAAAAATACATATAATAATTAAACTTAAAAATTATATTTTTATTATATAATATTTTTTCCCGCGCCTCCCCTGACATGCTCTGGCGCCCCCCAGGGGAGGCGCGCCTCACACTTTGAAAACCCCTGTTTTAGACCATGCGCCACGGCTCAAAGCGGATTGTCTCGTCCTTAAAATAGCAAAAGTGGATTCTGACACGCCCTGAAAGCCTTTGCGCCCTGCACTTTCTTGCGCATGGACCGTCAAAATAGAGCCTATATATTTTAAACACTAACAGAGTTAACTAGTTATATATTTTATTGCTGTTATGCTATGAACTAATTGCAAACAAAAATAAATGTTTGTTCTTGCATAGTTTTTTTTTGTGTATCCATAGAAAATGTTTGTTTTATATTAACTATAACTTAGTTAACTATAACTATTGATATTTAATATAAAGTAATATTAAATATAAATATGATATTAAATAATTTTAAATTATTTAATTTTCATTTCTTTTTTTCTGTTAAAAAGTGAATGCTGCATTGTTTATATTTAACAATCATTTAAATATTAATGTTACATTATTCATGGTAATGTTATTTGAAAGAGTTTATGAGTATATGAAAAAAATAACTTCAATTTATTTAATAAGAATAAATTTACATTTAAATTTACAAAATTACATTTACATTTAACAAACCTGATGAGTATTTTTCTTGGCATATTCAACTTTAATTATCCTGCCTTATTTTGTCATAACCTTGAGGTTTATTTCTGATCAAACCTTCTATCTCCTGCAGCCTATGTGACTCACTATCTAGACAAGACATTTTACAACTTGACGACCGTGGCTCTTCATGACTGGGCCACGTACAGTGAGATGAGGAACCTGGCAACCCAGCGCTACGGTTTAGTCATGACCGAGGCTCATCTTCCCAGCCAAACTCTGGAACAGGTGTGTGACACAACAGAACATCTCAAAAACTGTGTTACATTCAACATGATGTCATAGTTAAGTGTCTTCTAGGGGCTGGACGTCCTGGAGATTATGAGGAACATTCACGTCTTTGTGTCTCGCTACCTTTACAACCTAAACAACCAGGCAAGACTTCTCCTCTGAGGTTATTAATCCACAAAGGCTGCGCTTGGTGTGTTTTTTATAATACATCTTCTGTATTGTGTTTTAGATCTTCATTGAGAGGACCAGCAACAACAAGCACTTAAACACCATAAACATCCGCCATATCGCCAACTCCATTCGGACTCATGGAACTGGCATCATGAACACAACGGTGTGTAGAAATCCTGTCAGGGTCCTCTTTTTACCTGAGGAATCATTCGAATGCTAAAAAAGTATGCTGCAAATTTATGTGCTGTTGAAGTTGGGTCATTTCAGCATTGATAACGCAATGTGCAAATCTGCAATAGTTACATTGCAGGATGTCACGCCATTTCAAATGTGCTTAAACCATTTGAACACAAGAAATGAGAAAGTTTGCCACTTAAACAAAGATTGATTGTGTTTCGGTATTTATACAATTAAGACTACACCATGTTATGTTACATTTGATCACAGATTTTCTGAACTTTAATAATGTTTTGGTGGAGCTTAGGAATCCTCCGAAAACCATACAGTGGTGTTTATTTCATTTTTCATCTTTGCTTAATGTTTTAATCTGTGCTTTATTTGATTTTACTTTGTTTGTGTATATACAGTTGCAGTGAGAATTATTAGCCTCCTGAGGATTTTTTTTTTCCGAATAATTTCCAAATTATGTTTAACAGAGCAAAGAAATTTTAGTTTAACTCCGTTTTTTAATGAAAGATATTAGTCAGAGAGCCACAGCATCAAATACATAGAATGCTCCAACGTAGCAGCCGAACACAGTTTGCTTATATTTTCTTTCTCTCTGAATAAAGTATTAAAAATGCATATTTTTGCATTAAGAGAGAAAAATAAATAAATAAATAAAATTATATATATATATATATATATATATATATATATATATATATATATATATATATATATATATATATATATAAAATAAAAAGTTAGATAAAATAACATTATAGATAAACACATATTAGGCCATAAAACAATACAGAACATATATGAATACAAATATGCAAAGGGTACAGCAGTATAACATAAAATAATAACAATTATATAAATAAATAAATAAAAAACAGTATCCATTTATAGCTAGGTCAGCTATATACATGCATTCATATACGCACATACATATACCCATATTTCTTTATTTATTATTATTTTATTGGTCACACTTTACAATAAGGTTCATTAGTTAATGTTAATTAATGCATTTACCAAGATGAACAAACAATGAACAATACATTTACTACTGTATTTGTTCATGTTAGTAAACGTTAGTTAATGAAAATACAGTTGTTCATTGTTAGTTCATGTTAACTCATGGTGCATTAACTAATGGTAACAAGCATGGACTTAAATGTTAATAATGCATTAGTAAATGTTCATTTACGATTAATAAATGCTGTACATGTGTTGTTCATGATTAGTTCATGTTAGTAAATGCATTAACTAATGAACCTTATTGTAAAGTGTTACCAGATTATTTTATTTTTTTAAGTGTAAGAGAAAGGGTTGCCAAATAGAGTCAAATTTTTCAGTATTACCGCAAATTGTATATCTAATCTTTTCTATTTGCATAGACTGCATTAGATCATGCATCCAATGTACATAACTGGGTGGGGAAGGAGTTTTCCAGTTCAGTGTTAAAAGCCTTTTAGAAGAGCAAATCATTTTTCACGGTATTCCCTATAACTTCTATTTCATCTGGAGGAAGTCTTATTTGTTTTATTTCGGCTAGAATAAAAGCACTTTTTTTATAAAACATTTTAAGGTCAATATTATTAGCCCCCTTAAACAATATATTTATTTGGTTTTCTGCAGAGCCTAATTACCCTAACTTGCCTAATTAACCTTCAAATTTAACTTTAAGCTTAATACTAGTGTCTTGAAAAATATCTAGTAAAATATTATGTCCTGTCAAGGCAAAGATAAAAGAAGTCAGTTATTAGAATGAGTTGGCAAAAGTCTTCTTTCCATTAAACAGAAATTTTCAGCGCCAGTAGCCTAGTGGTTAGTGCGTCAACATAGTGCCTACGGCGACCTGAGTTTGATTCCCAACTCGAGGTCTTTTGCTGATCCTTCGCCTCTCTCTGCTGCCCTCACCTTCCTGTCTGTAATCTCCACTGTCCTGTACATTTAAAGCTGAAAACCCCAAAAAAAATGTGTTTAAAAAAACTGAAATTGGGGAAAAATATAAATCGTTAGTATCAACTGTAGAATCAGTTTTTTTTTTACTTGAGAACACACGCAATCAGATCTTTCCAGTCCACAAATGAATTATAACATGTGATTTGTGAAATTTAACAGATTAACTGATACATTTTTCTACTAATTGTACTTGAAAAAAGGTGTTGTTTTATGCCGAGTTTAGACGGCACGATTTTCAAAGTAGTGGTGTCACTGATGGTTTCACACTGCATGACTATCTGGGCAGCATTCTGTCTGTGCTGTGTTCACACTGCAGGATGGACCGCCGACAGGGGGTTTTACACTGCATGACTTTACAAAAGGAGAATCGCCGACAACTTTGTCCAAACTACGTCTCACAACCAAACACACGTGAGAAGTGACATAGAAACAAAGCGAGGTCACGTAGTATTGTTATTTACTACATAATGAGAAAGAAGCCTTTAGTGGCCTCGAAAATGTACTTATTTTGCTCACTTGGCTTTGAAGGGAATTAGCAATTATTCGACTTGGTTCTGATATTGCTCAGATGACACGTCACACAGACACGGGTGCCCCTGCCAAATTTAGACTAGTATTTCCTTCATTTTGGGTGCAAATAGACTAGAAATGAGCGCTTTTATCTTCTCCCCATCCTCCCGCTGGCCTGCAGATACCCACACTAGTGGATACTGCTCTCTCATTGGCTGTAGGTGATCGCCGATGTTATTTTCAATCAGATCACAATTCACACGGCATGATTTTAATAGCCAACAGGTCCAAATATTTAGCATGCCAAATATCTAAAGGGTGTCTGTGACTTATCTGCGATTCTCTCAGATTGTGTCATTGATAGTTCAGGCTGTGTAATTGTTACTCAGGTGAACGAGCACCGATTTGCCTGTGATTTCAGGCATTTGTCTGCGATTTCTCAAAATCTGTCGGCGAGGCAAAATCGGGGCTAAAATCATGCCGTCTGAACTTGACATTACTTAAAGTCTTTGTCCTGTCTAAAACCATGTTTATATCTCCTCAGGTGAACTTCACGTATCAGTTCCTCCGCAAGAAGTTCTACATTTTCAGTCAGTTCATGTACGACGAGCACATCAAATCCAGACTCATCAAAGACATCCGATTCTTCAGGGAAACCAAGGATCAAACCGACCAAAAGGTAGGTTGGTCTCCATTTGCGTCTTATTATTTGGTAAAGTGCTATTCATTTATTTTGACATGCGTGCTGTGTTTAGTACCCATTTGAGCGAGCAGAAAAGTTCAACCGCGGTATCAGGAAGTTGGGTCTTACTCCAGATGGTCAGAGCTACCTGGACCAGTTCAGACAGCTCATCAGTCAGATCGGTAAGAGGCTTTCAAACACATCTAGTAATCTTTCCTTTTGTCTTACTGTTAACTTTATGTTGGGTTGGTTTAAGGAACACTCCACAAAAAAAATCTTTTTCTCAAGTCCCTTATAGTTAAACTGTTGAGTTTTACCATTTTTCGAATCCATTCAGTCGATCTCCAGGTCTGTCGAGAGCACTTTTAGCTTAGCTTAGCATACATTATTGAATCAGATTAGATCATTAGCATCTCCTTCATAAGTCCTTAGATTTTTCCTTTTAAAAAGCTTTACGCTTCTGTAGTGACATGGTGTATTAAGACAGACGGAAAATGAATAGTTGCAAATATGGCTAAGAAATCTACTTTCGTCCAGCGAAATTAACAAGGTACTTTGCTGCCGTGTTCATAGCTGCAACTGGTGCAATATTACACAGCACCCAAAAAAAAAGTTTAATCATCTCTAACAAATGTCTCTGTATCATTGCACCTGCCACAGAATCATGACACAATACAGAGTTTAAGAGAATACATAGTAACGAAAATGATTAGACATGTTATTTGGATATTAAAGAAATATGTAATGTTTTTGAGTAATCAAAATTTCGAACGTTTATTTTTCTAGCGCACATTGTTTTTCTTTAGGTAAACGATAAAGCTGTGCAAGCTAATACACTGAAAAATTAATCAAAATCTGATCATTTGCTTTCGCATTTGGAGTGGCAGTTCTTTGTTGACATCAGTTAGACAACTTTAACAGCCACCATAAAGCCTGGTTTATACTTCTGCGTCAAGTTATTGGTATGACCCACGGTACATGCAGTGCGCGTAGCTGTACATTCATACTTTTGCTCGCTGTTTCTGTTGCTCTGCAATAACACTTCCGAAACGCTAGCTGGCATTGTGGTGTTTATGTTCCTCTGTGTCGAGTTTCTTCGCTTGTGTTTTTTTTTTTTTTAACTCTTCCTTTAATGTACAAGTGGCTCAAATTCGCTCATTTTGAGACAGGAACTGGCAGACGTGCAACAACTTTAACCATGAGGTAAACACAAAGCAACAGTCTCCATCCGGAGCTCCTTATAAACAGTCGACACTTGTAAACAGTCGTTCCAACGGACTCTCGCTGCTCTCGGTCCCGCCCACACTCGTCAGCGATTCCAAGCTGACCAATCACAGAGCTTGCAATTCGCGTCGTTGAGACGTCTAGTAAAATTTTTTGAGAGGTGCACATCAGCGACGCCGACAGCCATGGCGAGGGCTATGCATCCCAGCGTAGGCTGCACCGTAGCATAAGCATGCGCTTGACGCAGAAGTAGAAATCAGCTTTTAATCTTAGCCATGCTCCTCTAACCGTTAGTTCGCTATGAGGAAGTGATGCGCAAAAGAAATCCTCGCCCACTACGTCATATTCAGTTACAGTTAGAAGTACATCAACAAACTTAAATAAAAGACTCAGCAACTTCCACTTCATGCAGACTATAAAACGTTAAAGCAGAACTCTTAAAAACTTTGTTGAAAATCTTAAAAATTTAATTTTAGAAATGGGTTACATGTGTGCTAGATACTTTCAGCTAATTTAGCATCTCTTTGCAATCATAAAACAAAAATTAAAGCAGCCAATTTTAAGTTATCTAACAATGTAAAAAAAATTCTTGTCTTCCAGGCAATGCGATGGGTTACGTGCGCATGATTCGCTCAGGAGGCCTGCACTGCTGCAGCAGCGCTATTAGGTTGAGCATCACCTTTTGCTACTATACACAAACAATATTACCTATAGCATCCTAATAATTGATTATTACTAAATATACAGGGTGGGCAATTTATATGGATACACCTTAATAAAATGGGAATGGTTGGTGATATTAACGTCCTGTTTGTGGCACGTAAGTATATGTGTGGGGGCAAACTTTTCAAGATGGGTGGTGACCATGGTGGCCATTTTGAAGTCGGCCATCTTGGACCCAGCTTTAGTTTTTTTCAATAGGAAGAGGGTCATGTGACACATCAAACTTACTGGGAATTTAACGACAAAAGCAATGGTGTCGTTGGTTTTAACATAACTTTATTCTTTCATGAGTTATTTACAAGTTTCGGACCACTTATGTGTTCAATGTGCTGCCCATTGTGTTGGATTGTCAATGCAACCCCCTTCTCCCACTCTTCACACACTGATAGCAACACTGCAGGAGAAATGCCAGCACAGGCTTCTAGTATGCGTAGTTTCAGGTGCTGCATTAAACATTAAATACATTAATACGCATTAAAAAACAGTCAGAAAAAAAGTGTTTCATGTAAATACGGACCACAAGTCCACGTATGGATATCATTTTTCTCTAAAAGTACATCATATCAAAATATGATCCTTAGGTTTTATTCTTATTAAGCCCCAATAAGCCTAAATAGCAAAGAGAAATAAAAAATGCATGTAAAAACACATTGGGGCTTTAGAGAATAAGTTGCACATAACCTGTTTGCTTAATAATTTGAATGGGCTAACTCATTTTTTTTAAATGAAGCCAACAAATCCTTTTTTTCACAGTGTAAAAATAAAAATTCCACCATTATTTACACTTCAAACCTGTTTCTTTATTCTGTTGAACACAAAGGAAGATATTTTGAAGAATGTTGGAAAAACAACAGCTGTTGACTTCAATTATGTTTTTGTTCCTATTATGGAAGCCTCTGGCTGCTTTTTTTTCAACAAGAATGTCTTGCCTTGTCTTCAACAGAAGAAAGAACCTCATTAAAGTTCAGAAGTGAGTAAAGAGGGAGGGTAATTTAGTTTTGGGTGATCTGTCCCTTTAAATATCTGTACCAGAGGTGGCCAACCCTGTTCCTGGAGAGCCACCTTCCTGCAGATTTCAGTTGCAACCCATATCAAACACACCTGCCTGTAATTATGAACATTATAAAAGTCTTTTTACTAAGTATTTAGCATGGTATTCACGCTGAAATGTCTTCCAGGTTTGTTCCTGATCTTGAGGACATTGTGAACTTTGAGGAGCTGGTGAAAGAGGAAGGCCTTTCTGAAGAGACCCAAAAAGCCAGCAGGTACTGCATATCACCTCATGTCACTTAATCAGCATCCTTATCACAAGCCAGATTGTAAACCACACGGGAAACTAAAAATTTAATTAAATTAAAACAAATGATGAATTTAAAAAGTCAACTAGATCTGGCAGGTCAAGCCGGTCTCTCCTTGATACCTGTGGCACTCCGCTGGTTGTGGAAGTTCAGAGTTGACCCAAAAACTATTACGACTGGCTAAGATTGGCAGGGAAAATTGAAAAAAGTGGTTTAATCGGCACACTAAGAGCCACGGAAATAAAAAAAAACATTAACAAATAAAAAAGTAAACAGCCAAGGCTAGTATTACAATTAAGTCAGCAAACGTTTGTCATTTATTTAAAATTGATGATTAAATGTATGATAAAATAAAACAATACACACTATATTGTAATCGTAAAATTTGAATAATTAAAAATAAATATTTTTTTAATTAATAATAATAGTAAAACAAATGCTGTAACAATAAATAAAATATAATCAAATGACTGTGATAAATCATAAATTAAAAAAATATATGTTAATATTAATAATAATAGTAATAATAATAATAGTAAACAATACTGCACAATGATGATAAAATATAGCAAAATCGAGCAATAATAAATCCTAAATACAAATAAGTAAAATATGATAACAGGAAAATTAATACAACTAAAAAAACATATTGTATTGATGAATAAAATAATCACAATAAATACATTAATAATAATAATAAGAATAATAACAATAGTACTCAGGATTTAGTATTTATTAATCATTGCTGCATAAAAGATAATAAAATAGGAACAAAAACAATATTAATAGCAACAAACAGTAATCCAATATGAAATATATAAAGTGTAGACAATTGATGGTAATGATGGTTATGAACTATAATATTACACAATAATTCATTTATTCATTCATTTTCTTGTCTGCTTAGTCCCTTTATTAATACGGGGTTGCCACAGCGGAATGAACCGCTAACTTATTCAGCACGTTTTTACGCAGCGGATGCCCTTCCAGCCGCAACCCATCTCTGGGAAATATTACACAATAATTTGTCATTAATTATAAATACAATGCATACTAAATACTATTAATAAACCATACTGCAACAATGATGAAGTATAATAAAAACAGCAATAATAATTTATAAATACAATTAAGCAAAATATGAGAAAATTAATAAAAGAATATTATTAAACTAAAAAAATATATATTGCATTATTCAATTAAATAGTCACAATAAATACATTAAAATTAATAATAATAACAATAATAATAATCAGCTTTTAGTATTTATTAATCATCGCTGCATGAAAGATAATAAAATAATAGCAAAAACAATAATAATAGCAATAACAATAATTCATTATTAAGTAAAGCATCAATGTTTTTTCAAAACAATAATTCATAAATAGAAAAAAGATAAATATGATGACAAGAACACAATTAAAACACAATAAAACATATTATATTAAAGAATGACAGTCACAATAAATACATTAATAACATAAAATAATCCAAATAATCAGGTTTCAGGATTTATTAGTTGCATAAAAGATAATAAAATAACAACAAAAACAATATTAACAGCAAAAACAATAATTCATTATTAAAAAGCATCAATACACATTTTGATTATTCATAGCAATAATTCATAAATACAAAACAAAATAAATGTAATGATTAGAACATTATTAAAACGCAATAAAACATATTACATTAATGAATGACAATCAAAATAAATACATTAATAATAATCAGGTTTTAGTATTATTAGTTGGCTAAAAAGATAATAAAATAATAACAAAAATGATAATAATAGTAATAACAATAATTTAGTATTTTAAAAACGTAATAATTCTTCATATTACTTATAACAATAATTCATAAATATAAAAATGGTAAATATAATGACGAGAACATTAGTAAAACATAGTAAAAACATATTACATTAATGTATGACAATCACAATAAATACATTAATAATATAAAATAATAATAATAATAATAATAATAATAATAATGTTTTAATATTTATTAATCATTGCTGTATGAAAGATAATAAAATAATAACAAAAACAATATTATTAGCAATATCACTAACTCATTAAATAAAGCATCAGTTTATTCAAAACAATAATTCATAAATGCAAAAAAAATAAATATAATGACAAGAACATGATTAAAACACAATAAAAACATTATATAAAAAAATGACAATCACAATAAATACATTAATATCATAATATCGTGATAAATTCATCATAAATTATTATTATAATAATAATCAGGTTTTAATATTTATTAATCATTGCTGTATGAAAAAGAAAAAATAATAACAACAATATTAATAGCAATAACAATAATTTAATATTTAATAAAGCATCAATAACTATTCATATTATTCATAACAATAATTTTAAAATACAAAAACCAAAATAAATAAATATAATGACAGGAACATTATTAAAACATAATAAAAACATTATATAAATTAATGACAATAACAAAAAATACATTGATATTAATCAGGTTTTAGTATTAATCATCGCTGCATGAAAGATAATAAAATATTATCAAAATCAATAGCAATAACAATAATTCATTATATTTTAAAAAAGCATCAATAATTATTCATATTATCCATAACTATCATTTAAAAATACAAAATATAAATATGAGAAGAACATTATTAAAACACAATAAAACATGTTACATAAATGAATGACAAAACATTAATACATTAATAATAATAATAATCAGTGTTTAGTATTTATTACTCATCATAATAAAGTATTAATAACAATAATTAATCATTATTACATAAAGCAGCAATAATTAATAATATTATTCATAAAAATAACTCAAAAATATAAATATAAAAACAAGAACATGATTAAAGCACAATCAAAACATAATATATTAATTAATTACATTCACAATAAATACAGTAATAATATAAAATAATAATTAAGGTTTAGTATTTATAACTTCATATCATAATAAAATATTAATAACAATAATGATTAATTTTTAAATAAAGCATACATAATTATTAATATTCATTCATTAATATTCATGACAATAACTCATAAAAAGATAAATAACAAGAGCATTATTAAACAATAAAAACATTACAATTATGAATGACAATCACAATAAATACATTAATAATAATAATAATAATAATAATAATAATAATAATAATAAGGTTTTAGTATTTATTACTTATCACATCATAATAAAGTATGAACAAAAATATTAATAAAAATAAGAATTTATTATTAAATAAACCATCAATGATTAAATAACAATAATGATAAAATATAACAATACTAAATAATTAGTTATTAATAATATACACAAAATATATTAATAATAACAATAATATTACAAATATATAATAATAATAATATATCTTTTCAGCCAACTAGACTGTGTGCTAAGCGACCTGACCAGCAACTCTGCGGAAGGAACCGAGTACTTCAAGATGCTGGTGGGGGTTTTTGCTCCAGAGTTTCGCAGCATCAAGAACATGCACTTGAGGAACTTCTACATGATTGTTCCTCCTTTGGTGCGTTTTCGGCTCTCTGATGTGGAAATCTTCTGCTGACTGCCGTTTCTCTTGCATAACATCATTTCTGTTCTCCCTTCCAGACGGTAAACTTCGTGGAACACTCCATCAGCTGCAAAGAAAAGCTGAACAAGAAGAATAAAGTGGGAGCTGCGTTTACAGACGATGGTTTCGCCATGGGTATGTCATAGTCAATGGCTTTGTGTTCAGGATGGTTGAAACGTCATTACCAAGGGTTCCCACTCTTCCACTTAAATTCCAAGCATTTGAATTTCAGACAAATGGATCCAGTGCCTGAAAAGTACTTAAAAACAAACATACAGCGGGGAAAATAATTATTGTACATGTCATGTTTTATTCCTGAGAATATTATTTCTAAAGGAGCTGTTGACATGGAATTGAACCAGATTTTGGATGTTGCTAGTATGTTTATGGTATGAACTAGAACCTAAAGTTCATTGATGAACCCACTAGGACAGGTAAGGGCACTTGACAGGAAGCACAGTGGGTGCTAAGTGGTTCTTAGGCACTTGCTAATATGTTTATGGTATAGCTAGGTGGTTGCTAAGCAGTTGTTAATTGTCAACGATCAATGATCAAATGCTAGTACTTAGTAGGCATTTCTAGCATATGTTATTGCACTTAGATAATCATTAATAGCTGGTAGCTAAACGTTATTAGTACTTGGCTCATCATTGTTACCATGCATAGTACACAGGAAGTCCCATTTTGCTGGTATGAGTCAAACGATCCAATACCCAGGTCCCTATGAAGTTCTGATGTAGAGATATTGCTGTTTTTTAAACTGTTGCCAGTCTAGCCTGTTTTATTGGACTGAAGACAATTGACAGCTGAGTGATGATGCATCAAAGCCTCTTGCTAATATGAGCGATGGATTGGTGTATTGCTAGTATAGATTGGTATGTTGTTAGTATGTCCAATGTAAAGTCAATGGCAGTTTTTTTACAATGGAAGTCTATAGGATAGTTGCTAGGGTGCCGTAAGTGGTTGCTAGGGTGTGGCTAGTAAGTTGAAAGGTCATCAGTGATTGGTAGTCTGAATTAAATGAGCGTAACCTTAAGTCTGTTTTGCAGTCTGGCGCAAAGTTATGAGATCACAAAGTTTGGTCCGATGTTAAGTCAAAGGGACTTTTCAGAATTATCCGGGACAGTTTTGGGAAAACAGTAAGTCAGATCGGTGGGAAAAGATATAGCAACCCGAGTCAGACCAGTTAGGAGGTTTGAAGAAAGTTTGGTGGTTGTAGTGTGAACGGTTTAAGAGGAGAATCATATAGAAATTAGACTCAGAAGAAGAAGAATATTAAGTTTGTGTAGTATAACAGTATGTTGGCTTTCTCAAGCCATCATAATTGTGTGAGTTGTGTGTAATTACAATGAAATGACAAAGTAAATCTACTGAACTACATAAATGTATTTAATACTTTATCTAAAAGGGTTTTTGGTGATGTCAGCTTACAGAGTCCTCTCATATGGAGAATGAAGTCATGAGTTGCTCAGGTGTGACTTTTTTTCCACATACTTTAACAAAATGTACAAATCTTGACGGTTCTGTGGGTCTCGTCTACCAAATCTGATCTTCATTTTGTATTCTCTTTTGGATTGAAGTCAGGTGATTGGCTGGGCCTTTCTACAGCCTGATTTTCTTTCTCTGAAAGCATTTGAGAGATTCATTGGCTGTGTTTTAGATCATTGTCTTGCTGAAATGTCCACTCTGGTTTTATCTTCATCATCCTGCTAATGTAGATGTTGGACTGAAGCAGCTTTATATTCATTTACAATGAGAAAGGGTAGATCCTTGCTGAATAACTACTGAGAGATTTCAGCTTCATGTGTTCAATACGTTTTCCCTGTGTCAATGAATTTTATTACGCATAACTAGATTTGTAAGCTGCATATATGGATTTCTTTGGTTGTTACCAACATCCAGGAAAAAATTTTAGAATTGTTTTCTAAGAAAAATATTATATTTTCCCCCATTGTAGGTCTTTGAAACTACTGAAATTAAATTTGTTCATGGTGTTATTTCAGCAGTTGTACTGTGCTGCTGTCAAAAACAAAACCAGGGTGTCTGCAGGGTCTTAAAAAGTATTAAAAGTTGATGAATCAATTGCGAGAAAAAAGTCTTAGGGTGCTTACACATCTGTAGTTCGCTTCATTTGGTCCGGACCAAGCGCAATAAATGATACATTGTTCCAATTTCTGTCGTCTGGGACGTTTTCACACTACACTGCTGGCTTTGGTCCGAACCAGTTGAAAAGAACCAAAATGCACTCATCTGACAAAATCCTCATCTCTCATTGGCCAGATGTTGTTGAACATGGCTCCTAAACTGCTTATTGATTGGTCAGAATTCACATGCGGGGAAAATGCCAATGAACTCCCACAAGTAAACAAACCGGCAGACACAAAATGTCGCTTTTTACTATGGAGGGACGACTGCGCTTATTGATTGTATCCCTGCTTTAGACAAACTACATTTTGAGAATGAAGCACAGATGGAAAACAATGTTTAAATGCATCGCACATCACTTAAGGAGGAGGTTGTGAATTAATTTAGCTAAACTGCGACATGGTCATCTTGCGGAAATATTATCAACGATCTATCAGGTAATGTTTCCCCTCTCTCTCACTCTGTTGGTAAAGCGATGTCAACAAATATTTTTCCTCCATATCCCATAATGCACAGCGCATCGGCCTACGGCAGCTGGATAAGTCCAAAAGGCGAAGTACTTTTTTCGGCTGGGTCTGTTTTAGTTCGGATCATATTCTCACCACAAACGAACAGCTTCAGTGTTTGTTTGAAAGCATATCGAGACCACCTCTTCAAGCAGGTCTCAGTAGGCTTTTTTTGGTCCGCTTTTGGTGCACACCTGAGTACTATTGCTGCATTCACACGTGCCCAAACGAACAGCACCAAGAGGGAAAACGAACTCCTAGTGCGTATCAAAGGAACTAGATTCAACCGAACCTGCCTACCGAAGGCAGGTGTAAAAAGCACCCTTAATCACGTTTTTACAAGGTCTTAAATTTTGTTCAAGCGTTGTCCTGTCTCCAAAAAAGCATAAATATTTTTATTTTCCTCCTAATATTAACAACGGCGTGCTCGATGATGTCATGTAATTTGTGATAAACGCAGAAAGGTAAAGTGACACTCTCCACATGTAGTGAAACCATAGAGTGAAACAGACGGCAAAATGGAAAATTGTAAGACTGTGTACTCCTGGTTAAAGAAAGACGAGTTTAAACAGTGGCTGAAGCCTGTTGCTAAAAACAACCGCGTAATTTATTTTTTCAAGGTTTGTTTCATCCAGGCTTATCTGAATTCTGTTGCATGTTTGTGCTCCATTGATTTATGTAACTACAACTGTTTATTAAGTTAAATGTTTGATACTGATTAGAACTTGAAGTGGCGACGAGGTCTTAAAATATTCTGAGAAAGTCTTTAAAAAGTCTTAAAAAGATATTGAATTTTCCTTTAGGATTCCTGCATATATCATGAGAACTAAAAAATGCTCAATTCTTCATTTAAAAATCTTACATTCAGATCTTGTATTTCATCAACATTTCAGAAACCACATTTGAATATTACCAGTATCGAATTATACTAAATTTCTTTGAACATGACTGTTTAAAACAGATGTTAAAAATCACACATTAAAAACACCAGTATTACTGACATTTTAATCAAAATATTAAGTGTAAATGTAACGTTTTACGTTAGGTACAGTAAGGACTTTCATGGTGCTGCTTTTGCTAAGGGAATCAAAAAAGGTGCTTGTTCTGAAATTAATTGTGCTTTAAAAAGTCATCGAGTCTGCTGTTCATTAAAGAGTGGAAAACCCTTTATTAAACATTTACATAAAATGTCATATTGAAGGTGCTGTATGTAAATTTTTGACTCTTCTAAAGCATACAAATACTATAATATGTTTGTAGATATTTGAAAAACATGCAAAGTGAACATTCTTGTTTATCTGAAAAACAACGCTAAAGTCAAATATTCCACTTTGGAAATGTCTTTTCCGTGCCAGAATGCTGTCTTTGTTTCAGTTCTTTTAACCCGCCCACTGCCACTTTAGCCAATCATATTTCAGCACAACCGGGTTGCCTTGTTAGAAAACCGCATATTTAAAGGGCACCTATGGTGAAAAATCTGGAAATTTGGACAGACGTGTGTAAGTATAGAGTTTGGACCGTCATATTGGGGTGATATAAACACACACAGTCCTTTTTGGGTTTTTTTCAATACAATAATACAAAAACGGAGGACCAATTGGAGCGACCGCAACTTGGCGTAGGAGTGCGGTCCCCCGGCTCACCAATATTGATTGACAGGCATGCGTCACCATATCCTCAGTTTGTTGTTTCACGTTCGCTATTTTCAGCATGTGAGTCAAAGCGATGCCACTAAAGGAACACCCTTGCTCTTTTTTTAGATGTAAGGTTCATTTGGCTCAACACAAGAACAATTTTCTCCACATTATCGCTTTAATCTGAATTATTGTTTGTACCTTTTGGTAGGTTTGCAAACGTGTGTACTTTTTATTGCCTCTACCTTAAACTTCAGCCGGTCGCATCACAGAAGCTCCCTGTGATCTTAACTAGGTGCAGTTGGAAAAGTGCAAGCACGTTGCCTTATGTGCGCGTCCATCCATTGGAAATAAAATAACAAACTAGCCTGCAGGTTGCACACCAGAAGCGCCTCTTTGCGTGGCGCCATGCATTTCAGAGTTCTGGGTGTGGGTTTCTGTCGGGGTGCGCTGTCGGGGGGTCGGTGGCTGGATGCTGCGGGTGGCCGCCGACTTGGGGCGCCATTGTGTTTGCCCTGGTTGGAGGTCTGTGTTTGGTGTTCTGGAATGCATGGCGCTGCGTGGCGTGAGGATTCAAGACACTTCATGTTTCTACCGCACGTCTGAGAGTGTCTGGTGTGCCGTGTTACCTCAGTTAAAGTTAATTCAGTGTGCGTGGTTATTAGTCTTGGCGTACAAGCTCGGCACTTGAAACTAGCACACAGTTGGCTGTAATACATACAAAGACACAAATGATTGTGTACTCTCTGCTTGGTCTGTGTCCAAGTCGCACATGTACAACTGAATGCTGATCCTCTCATGTAGCTTAGCTTCACTCTGTCTGCCTGTCTGTTGCCAAACACAGAGCGGGTGAGCTCTTGGCTCCGCCCCCTTGTTACATTGGGCAGGAAGCCGAAACTAATTTTCATGTGAAGCAGCACACCCCTAAAACAGAGAGCTGTGTACACGCCCCCAACATGACACTTTTGAACACATTATAATAAAAAAACATCTGAACTGTGTGTTAAACTGAACCTAAACTGGCACACTCAGAACAACCATAATATTAACATTAAATCATAAAAAAGGGTAAACTATGTGCCCTTTAATTCATTCAGTCAGAAAGACTCTCAAAGCATGCGTCAGTAACTGAAATGCGACCTGCGGTGGACAGTAATAGACTGAAATGAGCCACACATAGAGTTTCACATAGAGTTATTAATTAGCAAATAATATAAATATTTAGAACGTAAACACTGTACATTGTAACCTCATGTCCTAACAATATCCTACGTCACGAAATTTTCAGTGATTTTCAGTGCAATTTGGTTGTTTGCACCAGATGAAACACAACAGAAATGTAACTATTGGCAATCTGGAAACCTGCACTTGCATTTGTTTTGCTAACATTAGCCTGATAGCACTGAACGCCAACACTAGACAACTTCGATCACATAACATTCAGGTTGTTAATATTTGTCTGCCCTGAGACGTGTCCGTGAACACGCCAATGACGTAAACCTTTGTGTGTAAACGGGTTACGCAGGGTTTTGCATATTTTGACAGGCAAGGTTGGACAGCCAATCGTAATGTTCGGACCGAATGTTTTGATTGGACAAACTTTTCTTGGTCCTACAGCTTCTACAGGATATTCAAATATATGTAAATACATTAGGACCACTTCATTTAATGATCGCTATCAGGATGCCAAAACAATTTCAACCAGCATAACACAATCTATTGTGCCTTTAGGCATTTAACAGACACTGTTATCCAAAACAACATACAGAAGAGGAATGAAGCAACTCATCGCTTTGGAAATGTCTGTGCATTGGGTTAAGTATCAGTTCACCCAAACAGTCTACATTTTGGTATTGATTACTCAACCCTCATGTGGTTCCAAACCCCAGAGGTCTTCTTTCATCTTCCGAACACAAAAGATGATATTTTAGATCTCTCTCTCTCTCTTATCATTTTATTAATTTAAAAAAGTTTTTGGAATGATTAAATTGGAATGACATGAGGGTGAATCATTAAAACAGAATTTTCTTTTTTGGGTGAACTAACCCTTTAATGTTTTGGTGTGGTTAAGTGTTTGCAGAGAAGCAGCTTCTTTAACATTGTGTTTTATAAATTCAGGTGAAGACTGGAATGAGGTATTCCACCAGAGAGTAGTGATTTATTGCAGAGTCAGCGACCTCATCTGCAATATTCAAAGACCTTTCCCACTTTTTCCAGGAGTTGCTTACATCTTGAAGCTTCTGGACCAGTATCAGGAGTTTGACTCCCTCCACTGGTTCCAGGCTGTGAGGGAAAAGTATGTGAAGGAAATGAATGCAGTGGTGAAGGAGCAGAACGTTCAGTCCACCAGCCAAGATGAGAAGCTCATGCAGACAATGAACCTGACTCAGAAGAGACTGGACGTATATCTGCAGGTATGAAAGCATCTTCATTGCTTTTTCAGCAATAATGAACGTCACCTTGTTTATTGACATCGTCTTTGTGTTTGTAGGAGTTTGAGTTGCTGTATTTCTCACTGAGCAGTGCTCGGATTTTCTTCAGAGCTGATAAAACAGCAGCAGAGGAGACCCAGGAAAAGAAGGACAAAGGTTGGTTGATGGAATCGTCTTGAAGTTGTGTTCTTAGAGTTACCATCCTGTAAGTTTAAGCTTCAATTCTGATTAAACGCATCTAAACCTGATAGAATTTACAGAGAGGTGTGTTGGAAATGAGTATTGCATGGAAGATCTCTAGGAAAAGCTCTCCATGTATTGGACTTCTGTGGTGTTCAATCATTTAAAATCCAAAACGTCACCATGCGTTCATTGTGTTTCATGTTCTGAGGCGCAGATCATTTATAATAAATTAATAAAGGCCCACAGTGGCTTCTCCTACTTACGCAAATGTCATTTTGTCTCTTTGAAAGTTTCCACCAATTCATCAGGAAGTGACATTTCTGTTGGCTTTCAATGGATGGAAACGGTGCTTTATTTGCATATGTTTTGCAGACAATTGTATCCTGAAGGCGCTGCTGTGTATCTGGATGATAATGTAGCAATACACACAGCAAGACTGGTGACAGAGTGGTTTGATGAGAAAGTCAAGTTGAACATCTCCCATGGCCTGCATGGTCACCTGATTTAAATATAGTTGAGCCACTTTGGGGTGTTTTGGAGGAGCGAGTCAGAAAAGCCCCCAGAAAAAGCGAGTCAATGCATTTTCATTGTTTTGACAACCGGGTGTCCCTAGCATGTGCTGTTTTTTTATTATTATTATTTTTTTTTAAAGTTTTTCCATTACTAATGTGTTAAATACTCATTGCTTCAATATTTGTGCACTTAATGGCTTAAATGTTCCCTCATTCAAAAACTGAGGTCCCATAAACCGCCTTTTACTTCACTTTCACTTTGTCAGATAACATCCCACAACATGCATCCAGTGCAGACACAAGTCATGCCTCATAGTACAGTATAACAGTGGCCAAGCCAGTATCAGCCAATAAATGATCTACTGTATTGATCCCGCTGATCCATTTTCAGATGTGTGGTTATAAATGTGGGCTTTTACATGATGTAACGCATAACATACAGCAGATGCTTACTTTAAAAGAGTTTATGCTAGTTTATTCAGTATGTTGATGCACTTCCAACTGAAACAGAATATTGAGCAGGGGCGAGGCTTTCTTTTGCATGTCATAGCAAGCTAAATAGCAAACTAAATGGTAAGAGAGAGTATTAATACGCAATTGCTATGAAAGTCCTCAACAGAAGGACCCCAAATGATCAGACTTTCATTGAAGATTACCAAAACAAACCAATTTTTCTCAGTGGATTAACTAAATTGTTCACTTTAAGAATAACAATGTGAGCTAGCAAAATAAACATTGTAAATTTAGATTAAGCGCACTGCTTTTGAAATAAAGCTTAGAAAAACTGAATATCCACTCTGTCTATACATTGATTACAGTATCCCAAATATAAAGTGATCGCAGGGCAATTGTTTTTTGCGTTTAAAGTCCATGTGAAATCAAAATTTATCATGTTAATTTGCCAGTGCACATTAAGTACGTTTAAATCAGGGGTGTCCACACTCGGTCCTGGAGGGCCGGTGTCCTGGAGTTTAGCTCCAACCCTAATCAAACACACCTGAACCAGCTAATCGAGCTCTTACTAGGCATACTAGAAGATCTCCAGGCAGATGTGTTGTAGCAAGTTGGAGCTAAAGTCAGCAGGACACCGGCCCTCCAGACTGACTTTGGACACCCCTGGTTTACGTGGACACCAATAATCTGATTTTAATACGATTAAGACAATACTCTGATTAAGAGTCTACTATGTAAACAGCGATTTTTGATTAATTTAATCTGACTAAAGTCATAATCGAACTAAACAGAAATCGAATTAAGAAGTGGAGTATGCCGATTTTAGTCGAATTATGAAGTGTAGTACAGACATGTAAATGCAAACTATTACCGTCATGGATTTTTTACACTATTTTTTTGCACCTATCAAGTCAGTAATAGACCACAGACCCCGTTATCGTGAAATTCGAAGGGTTTTTTTTTTTCCATACATCATACAGTTTTAAATTCAATAAAAACAACACTCTTCCAGCAGTTCATACTCACATCCAATATCTTGTTTGTCACAGGGGGCATGCATGAAATGTTCCTGAATGAAAGTGAAAGTGCCAAACTGCAGTTAAAGTCGACAAATAAAAATGAAACACTCAAAATTACACAAAACTTTGTGTCACACAAAAGTTTGTTTAGGTAATATTTAAAATCTGACTATTTGGTCCGACGTTTTTCTCTGAAACTGCGTCCCGAATGGCACACTATACACTATGCACTTACACACTCAACAGCATAGTATATGCATGTAGTGTCGTCCCAAATGGAGCACTAATGTTTTTATACTAAACGAAAATTCAATCCGTTTCTCTGATGACGTTTGACTATTGCCAAATCAGTGAAATAAATGACCAAACTATCAAATAATACCTGGCATGAGTATAACCGCGTTCACCATTAGGAGGCGTTATAATCACTCTCATAGGAGAACTTTGGTTTCACAATCCAAAATAAATAAAGTTATCCAACATGTGTGCTTGATAGCTCCGCCCCTTCGGCTACATGAGCAAACCTGCGGTCATTGAGTGCGTGAAGTGTCCATCATTACACACTTCATTTTAACCGGCTGAATGAGTGCATCATCCAGGAAATTAAAGTACACTTACTATTGTTAGCTTTCAGTGTGAACGCACTACTTACACAATTTATACTACAAAATGCCGTAGAATAGTGCATAAGTATGCAATTTGGGACACAGCTTGATAATGTCAGTTTGATGGATTCAGCCATAAGACTCTCAACCGTTACTCCCCTCTTATCGTTAGTTTGCTACAAGGTAATTATGCTTAAAAAGAAAGCCCCACCCCTACCTAATATTGTTTCAATTGGAGTTTGAAACATTTAGATGGATATCTATGAATGTTTTGACTAAAACAAGACTTAATTTAGGCTGTAGGTAAAAATCTATTTGACCAAAAAATAGATTAGTCATCAAATAGATAGTAATGAATGACTGAATGACTTTGATGAACATGAAAGTGAAATTAAACATCTCTCATGACCTGCACAGTCACCAGATTGAAATATTATTGAGTTTCTTTGAGGTATTTTGGAGGAGCAAGTTAGGAATTGTGTTCCTCCATCAGCATCACGTAGTTATTTGGGCACTTATCTGCAAGAATGGCTCAAAATCCTTCTGACCACTGTGCAGAACTTGTCATTCCATACTCGTGAAGTCTGTTGAATATGATGATTAGTCTATTTGTTAGATGCCTATTTGATTTTTATTGACAGCCCAAATGTAGCCTTTTTTGTCACACAAACATAAAATTTCTATGGCAATTGGTTTCTTTGTAGGTGGTATTACCCAAAATGTTCATATTGGTGCATTCCTAAAATAGTGACTTTTTCCACTATAAACATAACTTTAATCTTTATTTTCAGAGGAAGGTGCCAAAACTGGTCCCGTTTCCATGACAGCTGAGGGCTCTCCTGTGGAACCTAGTGCCAAGTAAAAGCACCAAGCAGCGTGAATGGTATAAATCACTTTAAGGACAAGGACTGGTTCCAGAGGAGGTTACAGACTTTGACCCTTCAGCCACTACACTTCTTATGGAGTCTGTACAGCATCATTTTTGGCTCGCCTACTCGCATTCAACTGGAACTGACTGTGGATTGGACCAATGCATCATTTTTAGACATTGATTGTTTTATGTATCTTCAAAGACCTTCATCAGCAGTTGTTTTTCATAATGATTTGTGGTCACGTAAAAAAATAGATGGTGTCTGTAGTGTTTTTTTTTTGTTTTTTTTAGGGTAACATCTTAAATATAAGGCACAGATATTTTTATATGACAAATCACTCTTTTGAATAGATGTTATAGACAAAGAAACGTCAAATTCAGCTAGATAAATTTAAATTTCACCCTAATGTTTTGTTTTCAAACTGATATGATGATAATTCAGTGAAAATTATTAGAGAGCGAAAAAAAATCTTGTCCATACAATGAAAGTTATTGAAGATCATTTTGGCTCTCTTTGATTTTTATTTGTTTATCAAAAAAATAGAATTAAAGTCAAACAGGTTTTGAACAAGTAAATGATGGCAGACTTAATATATCTGGGTGAATTATACACGTAATGTTTATTTAGTAAATGAACATGCCCCTTTTTTTTTTTAGGAAAATGGCCCATTTTAGAAGTCCGCTGCAGTAAAACTATTGTTTTGCCATTTTTTGATCCATTCAGCCAATCTCCGAGTCTGATGGGAGTTTTTTTTTCCTAGCTTAGCTTAGCATAAATCATTGAAACGGATTAGACCATTAGCATTTTGTTTTAATTTTTTAAGAGTATAATTTGAGTGAAATTCTAATGGTCTGATCCGATTCAATGGTTTATGCTAAGCTAAGCTAAAAGTGCTCCTGATAGGACACCTCAAATTCCAATTGAAAGAATGTTTAGAGGTGGGGCTTTCTTCTTGAGTAAAGCTTCATTCACACTACAAACGACTGTTCATCTCAATGGAGAGTGAGCGACTTCCAGCAACCTCCATCTATGTGAGCAACATCGACCGTTGGCAACCAGGTGGACGTCAACTGACAGGATATAGTTGAGTATCCTTCAACTTTATGCAAATAAGGAGCGACTTTCTCGAGCGACAGCCAAAATGAGCACCAGTAGAGATCACGTGATCCTCTCTCTGCTTGCTCAGAGGCCGGTTGTATATTGTATACACAGAGTGATGGGCTGCTAGTGTGAATGAGGCATTTCTCTTTTTTTTTTTGAGCGAAATGCTAATGGTCTAATCCGATTAAATGATTAATGCTAAGATAAAAGTGCTCCTGCCAGAACCAGAAATCGGCTGAGTGAATTTAAAAATGCTAAAACTCAACCGTTTAACTAAAGGTGACTTGTAAAATGAAACTATTTCCAGAAAAAAACTGTTTAAAATTAAATACTAAAGTTGTCTTCTCGTTTAAAATACTAATTTACTAATAATTTCAGGCCCGAATCTGCTTGTAAATGATCTATAATATAGAATGTAGCACACTAACACATTGTTCAGTCTACTTGTGCTGCCTAAACAGAAAAACATCAATCATCCTTGAGCACTGTGATGAAGTTGAATTGCACTTGCCTTAAAGCTGCTGCTGTCTTACAGTATTCAAGAGCACTGCACAGCAGTTTCTTCATTTCATCCGATTGATTCCTCTTTGCCTATTTTGTAAGCAGTCGTGTTGTATATTACCTCATTAACCTCATGGCATCTATATTAAAAGACTTGGAAAAGAAGCAAAGGGTTAGTTCTTAATCATGCATAAAGTGTGCTTCCACACATACATACATACACACACACACGCACATCCTTCCTACACAGAGTCCAAACACTGGTTCAGGAAAGCCGTTCTGCTTTATTACAAAGAAAGGGAGCTTTAAAGGTGGTCAGAAAATACAAGATTGGTCTGTTTTTCGTACTATCGGTTTTCCCTTTCCTACGAAATGCTTCTATTCAAATAGCTGCAGCTGAAATGTCTCCACCCCCTTGTTTATTTTTTTGTATTTTGTTTTGTTTGTCGCAATACAGATGTCCCCAAGTCAGTCAAAGTCAGGCCTTCCGCACGTCACCTTTATTTGTTTCGTTGAATTGGTCTTTAAGTGCACAGGGTAACAAACGTGATTCCCCGTCTGGCAGCTCAACATACTCTTCACTAAATTGTTTAGTTTTTTTTTTGTCTTTTGTGTTTTTGCTTCTACCACATAATGCCATTTCTGTCACCTCCTAAAAACGAGGTCAAGCATAGTTACTTCTTCCAAAATAGACGTCATGTATATATATATATAGATACATCTATCTATATATATCATATATATACACATTCATACATACATATCTTTATTCATGTGATGTCCAAAAATTAAAAAAATGTACACGTTTATTACAAAATCGTAACAAAGACTGAAAAGGGTTTGTAGTCATTCTGGAACAATGTTTCTCGGTAAGCTCACAACCGCCTGGTCCAGAGGTTGTGCCCAACAACGCTCACTGAAACAGTCTGATCGGGATTTATTGAAGCTAAGCAGTAAACAGCTCAGGATGAGGAACGCAGGTGGATGGAGCAAAAGGAATGAAAATATGTTGGAAAAAAAGGGGGGGGCAAAAAAAAAAAAAAACCAAAATAAAAAAGCACCTCCAAGATGTTAATGACAGGGCTGTGCGTCCTTCCAGACACCGACGGGAGCGGAGCGATTGTGTTTTTTTTTTTTTTTTTTATTTCCCCCACATTAAAACAAAAGCAGAAAACAATTTTTGTGTTCTTTTATTACTAAATAGTGCAACAATGAACATTGCATTTTCTTTCGCCCTTGTGTATTCACATGTATTGGATTTGTCTTTGTGTCTGTCCTGTTGGTTTTCGCAGCGCGCTTCGGAAAACAAAGCGCAAACTGCCTTGTTGTTGTTTTTTTCTTTTTAAATACCAATGGTTGTGTTTGTGTGCTGTACTGCAACTTCAAAGACTCCAGGCAAACACCAAAAGGGGCTTTCCATCAGAGGAGTAAACAAAACATTGACCCTGCTCGAAATGAAATGGAGGGAGAAGAAGAAGAGAAAAGAAAAGAAAAAAAAAAACGTAAGAGGGGATTTTAAAAACAGAATGAAAATATATAGAAGTTTTGTGTTCGGGCAGCACATAATTTGTAAGGCAGGGTCCCTCCCCCCCAGTTCTTAAGGTGGAGACCCCCGCCATCCCCCCCTCCCCCTCCCGCAGTCCTTGTCCAGATAGTTGAGGAATAAAACCAGGTTTTTTGTGGTCGGGCAGGTCGGCTGGCTGTCTCTGGCCGATCGCTCCTAGAGCTGACGGGCGCTGACGGACTCCGCTTCAGAAGGCCTGCTGGGCCGGATTGTAATTGAAGGTTGTTGGCACGTGAGGCCGCTCTTCTAGCTTGTCGTATTCCAGGTGAAACTCCTGTGGAGACCAGAGAAAAGAACACAGCTGATGTCCAGCCATATTTACAGATGGAAAAACAGTTCACTTTAGAATTCAGAACATGATCGGCATTGACAAACAAATCAGCTTCTCTATTAGGCTGCATTTACACTGCAGATCTTGATGGTCAATTCCCATTTTGTGACTTTTGTGATTTTTTTGCTGACCAGCTTACATCATCTTTTAAAAGGGACTCGTATCCGAATGTCTGCATTTACATAGCACACAGCAAAGGCGCAATGACCAGGGAAAAAAAAAAAAAAAGGGAGCGGGCGCTGACTGACAGCTAATGCTACAGGAGCGCCCTTTTCTCCTTTCCTGTATTTAATATGTTTGCAGGGTCTTAATCTTTTTTTTTTTTTTGTCTTTTTGACAAGCTGTTTTCCAATAGTCTATGACAGAAAAGTTCTGTCATTTGGCCATCTTTTAATCTAGGCCTTTTTAATCCGGTAGGCATCTTAATGTAAAGTCCATGGCATGATTTATGCATGTGACGCATGCAATAGTTTTGTTTATATTGGTTAGGTGGCGGATATTGCTCTCTCTCGTTAATATGCTTAAATACTAGTGCTACATGGCAACGCTTTTTAGTCCTCGTGTATGAGATGTAAGGCTTGGGACTCTGCTGAAGTCTGTTCTGAAATGAAAGCGTCAGACTTGACTTCATGTGCTATGGTTTTTAATGATGCGCGTCTCGCATTGACGTAAAAATTCAATCTACCTGCTTACACTGCAGACACGAGAGCTCAAATCCGGTTCATATTGGATAATTTTCAACAAAATAACAAGGTCTGAATTGGATTAGAGTAAATCAGAATCCATATGATTGTTTCCTGCTTGCATGTACATGGGTTATATTCGATCTGTGCCATATGACAGAAAATTGAGTCACTTGAACCATGCAGTGTAAATGCAGCCTCAGTTCACTTTTCTGACATTTTTTTCTTCCCTATTGTGATGTATATCACAGTGAAAACCCTTTCTGAGTAAATAATTCTAACTGAGATTTTTTCATTTGGAATTGGTAGGATCTTAGCAATTTGGTACTGATGTGACGTATACTAAAGCTGCTTTTCCGTTGGAAGGGTACAGCTCCGCTCATTGCGCTTTCACTGCAGTTGAGTACCATTTAAGGTGGCTGGGATTTTCGCTATAGTTGTGCTGCAGGGCTCGAAACTAACTTTTTGACTTGGTTGCACCGGTGCTCCCAACTTCAAATATTTAGGAGCATCAAAAAGAATTTAGGAGCACCAGAGAAAATTTAGGAGCATCCACCAAAAATGAATGAGCACCATAGCAAATTGTATTTTAAAGGATTTATTGTATTTTAAAACAACATCAATTAGGAATAATAAACCAGAAACAACTATCTAACTAATGCTGTGATGACATTGATATTTGTGTGCAATAATTCCAAAATGAATGTCTAATAATTATAGAATATTAATGATGATGAAAATGACAATAACAGTAACAATAAATTACATTTCTCATAATGATGCTGCCTTGAATACACTTGAATGCGAGTTATCTGCTATAAAAAGTCTATTACTTCATCATAAATAAATTGATGTTTTGCTTTAAACAAAAATGAATCATTGCAGTAAGAAATGTTTATTTTGCACTATTGTTTTTATATGCATATCAATTTAATAAATAATATTTCTGCTACAAAACAAACGAAAGATTTTAATAAATCCTTCAATTCAAGGCAGAGAGTAGCTTAATAATTTACGTAGTAGCAAAGTAGCAAAATAATTTACATCTCAAGATAGAACGAACAAAAGAAAGTCTCACTTCTATTACTCTTTGTGAGTGATAGATTTTTGATTTCAGTTTGTGTCGTTGTAACTGCTCAGTCTTGTTATGAGCTGATCTTCATTGTTCTGTGTTTGTGGAAAGCTGGCGAGTCAGCCGGACCAATTTATGAGCATGCAGAGCAAGATTCTCGCGATGACCACCGCTCTTTGTTATGAGTCGCAGTTTCAGTGTAAACTTGGTAAAGGCGAGCTTCTTTGGCCATGATGTGTACAGTATTAA